GTTTGGGTTGTATAAGATTGGAAAGTATCCCGGGAATGAGGGGAGCAGAATAAGAAATGTAAGATATTAAACCCACACAAATTATACACATTTCCATTTCCTGACATTACAGATATATTTTCTCATTTAGACGCATGTCACTGTTAACATGCAAAACATTTCCAACACTAAAGGGGACCATCAAAAATCCCCAGTTAGAAAGATTTATCTATATCCAGTTTGCAGTCTGAACTTTTAAATTAACTGCGACACAAATCCTATTTCAACCTCATCCCCAATAATTTATTTCCAGGTTGGCTTCCAATAGCAACCATGGAAATGGTCATTATTTGAAAGAAAATTGTGCTCCCCGATATCACGCCACAAAAATTGGACATTCTAGAGACCAGACGCTTCTTACTAAATGCTGATTGTAACCACCCCTCAGGCACCATACATGCAAAGGTTTTAGATATGCAAATGATGCCAGGGCGAGACTGCAGGTAGCCGTTGGGGGCAATGCCCAACACCATGGGACGAGGTTGAGCCTTTAACTTTATTTGTAATTTACGTGTAAAGTAGTTTTGACATGTACAACAAAGGTTGTCTTCTTTCTCCCAGTGTTGGCTCGGAGGGCAAAGATGAAACTAGAAGATATCCACATTCTCGAGACCTACGAGTATGAAGGAGTTACACTTGCCTTGGACACTTTGAAGAGTACCATGGACGATTTGAAGACATTTGAGATTCGAGAAGATGATGTATTCATTGTAACCTTCCCCAAAGCAGGTGGGCTGGGGCTAGGGCTGGCCCGACATTCTTGATTAAGTTAACTGTTGCCTTTTTAAACCGGTTGGTAAGGCCTGCACCAAATAATATCAATTATTATTCCCTCTGTTGTCATCAAACTATCCTGACAAATTAATCATATGTTAAAAGGACACTTTAAATAAATATGTTTCCTTCATTTTGGGAAAAAAATAATTTTGGCATCTATTTCAGACACACCACGGCTTACTACTTATACTTTATATTTTTCAGTGAAAAGTAATAATCTTATTAGGCCCCCTTATATCCATTTGGAAAATAAATGCTATGAAACAGGATTAAAATAAGAAAAATAACCACATCTAGTACCTAACGGTAGTGCATTGACTTCATTGGAACTGGCTTTTGCAGTTTTGTCAAAATTAGCAGATCGAAACACCACCTTTTGGTTGGTTTTTGATTTTACAGCGAATTCGTTCATTATTATTTTGTCTCATTAATTTTCAAGAGCACTGTATTTTCATTTAGTATTTGGTAGTACCTGTATTATTGTCTGCTGTTCTAATAGGTGCATGGGATTTTTAACCATTTTGGAGTAATTCTTTCATTTTCCTACTGACGGCCAACCATATTTTTAGCAGGTGGGGAAAATTATGACTGTGAAGTCAAAAGAACAGACCCTATCAAGTTTACCGACAGCCTGTGAGTATCTGGTGCAACGTCTGGTCCTTTTCTGTTTCAGGGTGATTTTTCCTTTTCTGTTTATCAGGTACCACGTGGATGCAGGAGATCATGTCTGCCGTCCTCCATGATGGAGACATCGAGAAACTCAACCAGCTGCACACGATGATGAGGGTGCCCTTCTTGGAGATGACACATGGGGCTATCGTACACGACAATGTAAGCTAGACCCTCGAATTGCTCCACCAGTGATATGAGGGGTTATTGTGGGTGTAGTGGGGTCTATATACATGTATTAGCTCTGAGCACAATCGAGGGATGGAGCTTATCAAGCTGATGCCGTGTGCGAAATACTTTGGTTTGGTGTGAACGGAAATTCTGCCCACCGGAAATTCTGCCACGCCCCCAATTAATGTTTGCCTTGTTTGTCTAGACATGCCCCGGAGAATTCGTCCCATGGCTATTCTGTCCACTTTGCATGGAGAAGATTATAAGTTGCCAAAGGAAAATGTCAGAAACATAATTTTTTGAAAAAACATATTCCAATTCATAAATTAAAAGTATCAACATCAGACTTAGTTAAAGAAAATACAGGATTAATAACTTTCGCTGGCTAAGAAAAATAATGAGTATCATATTAAAGGAAGATAAGAACAACTAATAAAAAGAGATCAGCATATTAATGAGAAAAATCCCACTGTGGGACAAAATCCCGTATAACATGGACATGTTTTCCTGGGAAAACATGTTGTATACAGGGAAAATAATAGTCTGTAACGTGGCCTGGAAAGACAAGACGAGGCGAGTTGAGACCAAGACCAAACCAAATCAAACCAAACCAAACCAGCAACGCCCTTGTAAAAGCCGTCAAGCCTTCCAGCCAATTACAAAAAGCTAAAAATGTCCCTGTGCCCCCCCCCCATCTTGTATACTTGCTCACTTCTTCGGAGCAAAGCATTTTTGCGTAATTCCACAGTTTCATAGCATTCGCCTGTGGGAACAGGTGACGTAGCCACGTGGTGCTATTAATGTTCCAAGTTAGCTATTTTTCACCTAATCTTTTCAAAATAAACATTAATATGTATTAGTATTGCTGTTTGTACACCTTCATACCTTATAGATCCCACGCACCCACAAACGTTTGGAAAAGATGCCTCGAGGTTCTCCCCGCCACATCAAGTCCCACCTCCCGGGCCAACTTTTGCCCCCTCAGGTGTGGGAGAAGAAGGTCAAGATCGTTTACGTCATCAGGAACCCCAAGGATGTGGTGGTCAGCTTTTTCCATCACATCTCTTGGACACTTCCGGCGGATCGGCCATTTCTGTTCGACGACTTTTTTGACACCTTCATCAACGGCACCAGTAAGTTGTTTTCGACCTAATTCGTAAACGAAACAGATCAGTTGCAAGGAGGGTTGAGTTGGTTGATATGGGGCACAAAAGAAACTTTACAGATTATTTTTCATCTTGAACTAAGCAAGGATCTAAAACCAAATTTTTGGGGGGGGGACTCGTTTAAGGCAGGGAAAAATTTTGGATTTGCTATTCTGGCGTTCAGTCCACATTTTTTGACTTTCGTAATGTTTTTGTGATGAAAGTGACTTGAAACAGAGCGAAAAATCAGTTTCCTATCGTTTTATTTACAAAAAGGCTCTTTTTTTAGGGAGGGGCACGTTCTCCGTTGGTCTTTCTGAGATACGCCCTTGGAATTGTATTATGTCAAGCGATTGCTAAAGATAGTTAAAACAAGCCTTGATTATCCCAAGACCATCTCCCTTCCTCTTGATGTGCATAACATGACACTCCATTTTAAAAACGGTGAGGTATACAGTATTTTTAAATAAGAATTTGCACCTACAGTAATGACCCGAGTATGCTGAGTCACCAACAAATTAATTAGGAAGGAGATGCAATATCAAGTATGATATCGAGATATTTCCGTCCAGGATTGTTCCAGGGTCTTGCTTTGGTACTTTTTGCTGAAGTCGTATTATGAACTTGTTAAATGTCATCTTATTTTTCCACAAGATCCGTACGGTAAGTGGTGGGAACACTACCTGTACTTCTGGGAGCGGCGTAACGAGGACAACATTCTATTTCTACGATTCGAGGATGCAAAGAAGGTATGAAACTCACAACACCCTCATCTTTAAAGAGAACACTATAACTTCTGGAAAACTATATACACGACCAACATTTGCGGATAGGTCACACTTGGTTACTGGCAAAAATGTTCACTTTCCACAACCTTTTAATAAGTGAAAGATTGGTGATCGTTGGTTCAGTAATATTTATTACTCTGTGCTTTCATGGACTATGAAGATTTTCCAATGATAGCTTTACTTTATCTAGATCACCAACATGTAGAGAGAAAGTTAATTAGAACTTCTGGAAAACTATATACGCGACCAAAATTTGCGAATAGGTCACACTTGGTTACTGACAAAAACGCACATTTTCCACTACATTTCAAAATGGGAAAGATTGGTGATCGTTGGTGCAGTTGTAATATTTATTACTCCAGTGCTTTCATGAATTGGGGTGTGTGAGATTTTCCAATGATTGCTTTCCTTTATCTTGCTTACCAACATGTAGGCAAAAGCTATGACCGTGGAATAAAGTCTCGTAATTAAAGAAGATCATACAAAGTGAAACTTATGTCGATAAGTTTTTTAGAAGGGAAATCTAAGTGTCTGACCATTTCATCACACACCTTGTGGAAACAGAACTGCATTATCGAAGACAGCACGAGGCCATCGTTTCATTTTTAGTGTACTGTAAGCACATTCATCACGTGAGTGCTTTGAATCCAGTTTGGCTGGGGGTTGCCCGCTATCGATGCCGTCCAAAATATTGCTTACATAGCTCCCATCACCTGGATTCATGTTTATCATCTATACATTAGGATCTCCGTGGTATCGTGAAGCGAATCAGCGCGTTTTTGGGCAAAGCGTTACCGGATGACGTCATCGATGCCATCACTGACCACTGCACCTTTGAGAACATGAAGAAGAACCCAATGACCAATCCGGACACTATCACCCAGATAATCCATGGAGGCAAGATGCCCGAGGGGAAATCGTTTATGAGAGCAGGTAAATCTCCTTGCTAAAATATGCCTTAGATGTGACGCCTGGGTGCTGCAAGCGTAATATCCAGGTAAAGGTCATGTGCTTGAGCGTAATTTGGTTATGGATCAGGTTGTCCGAATTTTCAAACAAGACACTGAAGAGTGCTATCAAAATTTGCAATCAAGGTATATGGATTGTTTGTTTTCTGCAAGAAAATTTGAGTTATATTGATGATGTGTAGAATGGGGTCGAGCCTGAGCAATACGTTTCTGAAACAGCTTCATTTTAGATATGAAAAATTCGACAAAATCTTGCCTTACTATATGAAACGGTCGATATATGAAATGTAGTATTTGTCATACACCCTAATGCTAGAATGTATGGAGTTACTTGTCTTATAATCTTCTCTTTTGGGTTTTATTTAGGGAAGGTTGGCAGTTGGAAGTCGAAGCTGTCTGACTCTCAAAGCGAGGCCTTGGATTCTCTTTGCAAGGAGAAATTGGCGGGAACAGGGCTTTCGTTCGAATGAGGGACCGATCATCACATTAGAGGAATGGGAATTTTAATGATTAATAAATGCTCTGGCTTTAAGAAACTTTGTGGACAGTTAGTTGTTCAAAGGGGAATGTTTAGTATACATGTACATTAAACCCTACTAAACGACTGCAGTCTTTTTTAATATCAAAGTATATCAACGATGACGAGATTCTCTGGCATTAGTTTTTAATGTGTACGCTCGAAAACGAAAACAGACAGTAGGGCATCCAGGTTTGATTGGGGAATTAGCAAAATCAGGATTTTATTCACAACTGTCAAGCACAAAATTCCTTTCTTTAAACTTTCAAATATAGGAACATAATTATCCGCAAGGAACTCTCCCTACCCCGTACCCGCTGGACACGCCACTAGTAACAGGTGACATCGTCGGTGCATCGGGGTGGGATGCCAGCTTTTTGGAGGTGTGTCAAAAGTAATAGGGAAAGGCAAATTTGTGGACTTTTCTTTTCCCTTCCAATAAGTGTACAAAAAATACATAAAGAACATGATTTAGCTTCAGATCTAAGAAAGGCTATGAAAGGTTACATTACAGAAACTTTGATTCCTACCTTAAAAAATTACCTAGTTCTGGATCCGTTACCTCTTACACTTTAATTTGTTTTGATAGCTTTTACCTTTTATTGTCTTTTCTTACAATTTTTTAGAATCTCATATTTGATGTATTTGATATATATATATTTGATTTTCAGTGGTCCCTAGGGGGTTAGGGTTAAGTGTTTTGACGTCAATTTCTATGTACATTTGCCATTTTTATCATTTGTATCTCTCAAGACTGAAACTAAATAACAATGCGAACAGCGAGTAATCTTATGGACAAATTAATGTTTCCTGTCAAATTTTAATTCAAGTTTTTTAAGTTTAACAAAAAAGAATTGGGAAATGACTGCCTTTTGAAAAATACACGGTATGCACTTCCCCTTTTTTTCAATTCAAAACTTGCTTACAGACTGGGAAGGTCAGTAATAGTCAGGTTTCCCAGTGTTTCCTACAGGCTTTTGTAGTGGGCAAGACGGGCAAAAATATGAGTATAACCTTGCCGCTCCGAGGAGAAAGTCGGCGTGTTTCAAGTCTCTACCTGCAATCACGTGATAATTGGCCTCATGTCATCCGATCCTCTGAACAGAGCCATCATAGCTGGACTTGGTTTTTATTTTCCAACATCAAAATAAGTGGAAACAAGGCCAGTCATTTAGCCACTGATAACCAGTGTAACCACCAAACCAAGATCAAGGCATGAACCCAGAATCATAAACACTGTAGGTAGTATAAATTGAGCGCTCCTCCTGTCACCTTTGGATTGGTCAAAGAGGGAGTGTAGGTTCCTATTCAACTGGCTTGAAGCCCTGCGAATGCTAAAATCCTGATTCTAGTTACTTTGTTGGGAACTTTTAAAAGTGTCTTTTATTTTGCATTATTATTATTAATTTTTTGAGGGAGAGGCATCCAGAAAATGACTGAATGAATGATAAATTCACTTTCTACTCTGGCATTCTAAAATTGACTGAGCTAGTTTAGAAATTTAACAAGTAGAAATAAACTGTGTGTTGCTTGTGGTGTCAAATTTAAATTGCTTGGAAATTAATTTCGTTTGCTCCAACGTTGTGGTTTTGGTGGTTGGTCTTCTAAGAAATCATGTGCCACAAACATATCCAATTCGTCTGCTTGGAAACAAAATTCTTGCACACATGCACTTGTCATGGACACATTATTAATGGTAACGCTTTCCTCTGTCCATGACATCAATTTGAAGTTAAAAATGAGGCTGCCCCTGCTTCTTCGTGTAGTGGGCTGGGCCAGAGGCAATATGAAATGATCATGGCACCCACTCATACCACTAGGAAAAAAATGTTTGAGCTCAGTGTGGCATGTTGTCTTTGGGCATAAATACGCGGTATGTTAAAGACCTTGATAAATCTTGAATCAAATGCAGAAACATTACTTCAACAAACTGACTTGATTGAATGAACTTGTTAACCGTGCAAATTCCAGAGTTTCAGTGATACATAAAGACCTCCAGGAACCTGCTGTGTGACCTGCACAGACCACTATGTTAGGGTCCCACATCAGATATTTTAGAAGTCGAAAATACACAATTACTCATGGTAAATTCTACAATTCATTTAACTTCTTTGTTTACTGCACTTTTGAACCAACAACTAAGTTAGACACAAAAAAATCAAGCGCGCATGTAACAAATGAAATGATTACAAATATCACCACTGATCAATGATGTTGATAAGCGTAACGTTTCCTCAGTTACGGTGCGTCAGCCCAAGTTCTACTGAGCGGCACTAGGCCTACTCCTTTCTCAAATTTTGTATTGGATTGGTCGTACTACCAATGCAAACTTTGCAAATGAGTTTTACTAATAAAGCCTAGTATTGACGCTCCACTCATACTTCGAGAACTCGACGTCACTAACTCCGTGATACTCCATAGTTAGTGACTTCGAGTTCTTGAGGTACTCCCATCCATTCAGTACGTGTACTTATGATGTAGGCTAGGCCTACGGTGTATATTGTAGGCTATGTTTTATTTCTCCATGGTCAGCCCTATCGCCGTCACAACTGTTGTCGTAACTTGGGCAGCATATCGATTTGAAGAATTCTGTTTATGAAACTGACCTTAAATTCTCGACCTTCATCACGTCTAATGGCCACTAAACTTTTTTTTTCTGGTACCTGGTGGGTGGTGAAGTCCTCGGGAAAATATTGCTGGTGAACCGAGGAGTACGCCATCTTTAATTTTCGCGGGAGCAACCTCGCTTTGAATCAGTTAAGCGTTTTTATAAATTATGTGTATCAGGGTGCAGACCACTAATTCAAGTGAGAATTTCTGGCCAGCTCTTTAGCATTAGAAGTGCCCCCCCCCACAGTATCTTTTGAAAAAGGAGATTGTTTGGCCCCCAAAATGGTCAGATTGTGTAAATCGTTGCCAGGATCAACTCCCTGGGTCTTTGAGCTTTAACATGAGAGCAGAAGGGCTAAAAACTACGGTTGAAAAATGGTCCTAAGTGCCCCAGAAAGTTGAAGGTTGCCACTTGAAAAATGGCTGCAATCAGACTTCGAAAAAATCACTTTTTTGGGGGGTGATTTTGTTTTGTGGGAATAATTAAAAATGTAATTGATTAACCCATAAAAAATTGAAAAGAAATTTAAAGATAAGTGACCAGACAAGAATTTCATTTGTGTTTCAGAAATCTTAGGGATGTTAGCGTGCATGCTTTTGGGCCCTGAACGGTGCTGATTTTACACTGTTTTCAATGGGGCTTGAATTAGTGGACTGGACCCATCATCGTCACGTGCCTCCGCGCATATGCATCATGGGATTAGCGTTCGTGGACGTCCATCCGCCGTGTTCGTTCTAGAAATTTTCAGGGATCGTTCAGGATTTGAGGCTTTATTTCCAATGTTCTGCTTTTTTTCTGTGATCCGGTGACTGTTGATTACTAGTATACAAAAACTGAGGACATTTTGACCGCACTTTCGTTCTTTCTGATCATCACTCATGTCACCTGGTAACAGTACAGTGATCAGCATGATCAGTCGTCAGTGAACTGGAGTTTAAGGTTAACCACTGCAGTAAAGTTTAACGTTTGCTTTGTGACTGTTTGTCTCAGGTAACTTAACTTAGACTTCTAGCATTACGTAGCCTCGTAGGCTTCTTATTTTTCTAATGAAGTAAAAATGGAGAACTTAACTGTCTGACTGTGGCTGTAGTGCGTGTTAGGTCATGTGGGCGGCAGAGTTGCAGCATAAGGCTAGTTCAACATGTTCAAGTACCGTAGTTGTTTACTTTGTTTTGGTACGCATGGTAGGCCTAGTTGATGATGGTATACTCGCTAGATCCGTTGTTTCTCTTCTTACTCAATGAGACTTGACAGTAGGTGGAGAAATTAAGGATTTGCCGACCACACGGTGAGACGGTCACAGATGTTACATGGGTTTTTTGGTTCATAACTGTTAAGAAATTGTTTTGTCTTGTTTACTTCTCTTTTTGAAAGTGCCTTTCAAAAGCATGAATTAGAAAGAAAAGGTATTTGGCTGGTGATGGAGCTATTGACAATCTCACATTTGTGAGATCATCTGATCACACAGAGATTGAGCAGTCGCACATTTTAACCCTTTGCACCTGGCATAATCATAGTCATACAAGAACTCTTTGATATGCTTGAACTACGAGGTTTATTTTCACACGTTTGTCATTGTGCCGTGCCCCATGAATATTAATGCCGGAATGTGACAACAAACCTCAAAGTTCAAGGGGTACTGTCAAGGGATGATTCTTAGTCCGAGAAACTCGAACATTTAAACACTTGGACATGATCGGTCATCGGGTCGTACATCATACCTTGTACATGTAGACTAGTCATGACCAGATGTTAATAAACAAGGCAAGGTAGGACCCATTACCTAAATTACAGATCATTGTATCAAACCGGCAACTTTGCCCCTGGTGGTACAATCATTGCTTTGTTTGCCTATTGTGAGGCTTTTTTCAATGAATTAAACCAAGTGGGCCACGAAGCAAAGCTATGCCTGAATGTCAAACTAGATGGTTTAAGCACTTATATTTACCTTCAAATATATTGACTACATGTGATGCCTAGTGATGCTCAAGTTGTACACATTGGTACTTGTCTTTCCTGCTTTCAGACAAATTTGAAGCAAGCTGTTCGTCCCTCAGGCTGATAGCCAGACAAGAAATATCCTCCAGTTGAGATGGTCAGCCAGTCATGAATGCTGTGGTATCTTTGTGCCATTTCTGCGAGCTCCATGGCCCCAGCATTCTCTTCTGCACCCAGTCGTTCCACACCAACGAGGAGGGCCAACAGACGTTTGACAACAACTCGGGTGCATCTGGCTCGTCGGGGCACCCCTTGTTCCGCCGGTCAAGGTCGACAGACTCCACTGTATCCAATCCCTTGCCAGGGGGTGACCACAAGTCCCCTGCTTCCAAAACAGAGCTATGCGAGGTCTGTTTAATTGTTACAAAAACTCTCCAGAAAATTTCAGTTTTACTCTTTTGATTGGCCAGGACTGCTTCATGCTTGTGCATTGTGCACATTTTGTGCTTAAGCAGCTCTATGAAATTGGCCGCTCTCTCATCCTGAATAGCTTAGTAACAATTTCACAATTTGTAATTGCATACAACCAGGATATGACTGAATCTAATTTCTTGTCCCATCTGTCCATTCAGTCTATCTGTCTATCTGTCTATTCAGGCCTGCAGGTCATTCCAGCCGGGCCAGCCAAACTTCATCAGCCATGACCACGAGGTCGGAATCAGTTACATTAGCACTCAGTACCCACAGAACTCACAGATTTTCACCATGGTCAGGCAGGCCTGCATCAGGAGTCTTAGCTGTGAGGTATGTTGTTGCTGTTGATACCTTAGGCAGTCCAAGTGACCTTTTGTGCCAACCACTCTATAACTTGAGGTGGTGTCTCATTTCTGGGAGAGTTAGTCAAATTGGTCAATGAGTATTGGCACTCCTCCGTCAGTTCCACATAGAGCAGCATTTCTCGTAGCTAAAAGTACACCTCCAGACTTTGAGCGCCTTGTATTGAACTAGTGATATGTAAGCACATGAAGGGATAGTGTAAGGCATTATACTTATAATTTTAAGAAATTTGTTTCAAGTTATTATGAAAGATTCAGTCATGGTTGAGGTGGTAAAGTTTCTGAGTGACGCCTTCAGATGAGATAACCAATGATCACAGCTTACTGGATAACAACTTCAAAGTCAGTTCAACCTTTCCATGGAATGCCAGTGCATAGTCCATCAGTTGGTTGTGTCTCTTTTCATTATCGACAAACCAAGATTATAGTCATATTGAAACAAATATTTACTGGACCGTGTAACAGTGCGTGGACACTTTTTTGCATTCTCCATACTTGAAGGTCTGCCAAGGTCGTGAGGGACCCATCTTCTTTGGGGACGAGCACCATGGCTATGTCCTCAGCTACACCTTCTTCATGAAGGACAGCCATGCCCGAGGTTTCCAGCGGTGGTACAGCATCATTGTGGTCATGACAGACCGCATCTTCCTTCTCAACTCCTGGCCCTTCCTGGTCTCCAACATGCGCTCCCTGATCGAGGAGCTGCAGGCCAAGTCCCTGAAGGTCTACGAGCAGGAACAGTCAGAGCACCCACAGCGGGCTGAGCGCATCAACCAGGAGTTCCTTGCACCAGGGGACTTCTACCGGCGGCGCCGGGGTGGCAGCAAGACCTTCCGGTCCCTGCTGGAGCTGACCAGTGACAAGAACCTGTTCCGGTACCTGCACATGGTCTTTGCCTGGATACTGAAGGCTGGTGGAAGCAGGATGACAGAAAAAGTCCTGGAAGGACCTCCAAAGGAAGAAGCTCTGATCGATTTAGACAATGAAGAGGGTTGGTTTTCCATTGAAATCAAAGAATTTCTGAAGCATTTTGAGAAGGGATCCCCCATCTCTGTAAGATTGTCAGGTTATTATTAAATTGAATAAATCACCCAGAGGGTATGTAAATAGATCTAGTATTGCATATTCCTAAGGTTGATGGGTTGAATCGTCAATGTTGCGCAGAGTCTCTGGTGGTAGATATGCATGCAGGTCTCATTTCTCAGTGGCTCCTATGTACACACATGATGTCTGGTTGGTGGCAGAACTGTGGGCTTTGCTTGTTGAACTTGAAATTGGTTGCGTGTGACCTGTCATCACAGCAGATATTGTGCAATGTAAAGATGTAAGGATGTGGCGTAAAACAAAGTTACAGTCAGGTACATTACACCAATTTTCTTCAAGTGATTCTTTACTCTTTCAATGGCAACATTCCTCAAAACTTCTCTCTGCCGCTCAGAGACTGAAGAAGGTTTCATCAAAGTCTCCACAATGACCATGGATCCGGATCCTGTGGGAGGGATAGCAGAAGGCCCAACAGCCATTCAGGATAGCCCAGAGGAATGGCAAGATGGTGGACCTACCTTCAAGTCATTGCATCATCTCAGGAGAGTGAGTGTAGAAATCGATCATTACACTTATGAATGTTAGAAATTTTTTCCCCTTGTTTTATGCTTTCAAATTTCTTGAGATGAGCTTTCCTTTTGCGATTGTTTTAACCCTTCGCTAATTTGGTTGAGCTTCTTGCATCCTCCCAAAGCCAACAAATTAATAGCAATTCAGTTGCGAATCCTGTGTGATTGGTAAAGGTTGTACATCTACCATCCAGTATTATGCTGGGGTGCCTAGGGCTGTTCTAGTTCCACATCTTTTGTATCTTGCAGAACTGAACATTAGCTTTAGATTAAGTTAAATGTAGGGTTAATCATAATTAACACACACATACGACACTGCTCACTCGGGGAGAAGAGTGGAATGTTTTCTTGACACGTATATGGTTCAGACCTCATCAATACCATTGGATGGTAGAAAATAGGAGAAGTTGGTTTAATATAAATGAATAAAGTGGTTACTTGTGTCCGCTATCTGCCAATTATAAATTGTTGTATGATCACCTTGTCACCAATCAGCATTTGCACCACCATGGTGCTTTAATACTCTTTAGCTTCAGTTAACATGCACACACATTCACAAACTGCAGATACGTACCTGTTGTAATGTGATATTGCTTCCGATTTTATTTAAAAAAAAAATTAATTAGAATTTCTGACTGTTTTATTTCAGCTCTTAGGTAGTTTGAATTTCCACGATCTGGCTCACCATGCCTTAATTGGCAATCAGATCATAGTCAGATGTAACTTCAAAAGCACTCTTCACTCCTTCTTTGAGGTCCTCAAGGTAAGCCAAGAACAAATGGAGAACAAAAACTACTTTTCTCCTATTTTCTTGGGACGAATACTGCATTCCAGACTTGGCATTGTTTTAACCAATTATCAGTTGTGATTTGAAATTTTTTTGACTCCTGAAGGCTTTTTTTGGGGGGGGGGGTAATCCTTTACCTGTTGGAACCCATGGGGGAGGCATGGAGATTAAGCTGGCTCTTGTGGTAAATTTTACTTGTGACGTGACAACTATTGAAAGCCATTTTGAAATGACTTGCCTGAAACAACCCTTTATTATTTTTCAGAGTACACCATTTCCACTCAGGAGTCACAACTCAGTTCTTGTTCACTAATTGAAATGGCTTTTCCCAGTCAAAAGTCTTTGTCTTTCTTTAGCTCTTCATTGAAACTCACCTCAGTACTAAACTTTCTTGTCTATCACTTTTGTCACCATTTTTCTAACCTATGTCTTGTACCCAGACACTCTTGCCGGTTGGCTGCTGCCACATCATCACCTACAGCGATCACTATGAGGAGTCCTTCAAGTGCAACTTTCTGGGTATGTCCCCGAGCACCAGCCTCCCGGGCCACGTCAAGGCCTCAGAGTTCTTCATCCTCTTGGACATCATCAGTCCCAGCCACCCACCCCGGGAATGCGAGAGGGTGATTGTCAAGGAAGCAGACCCGTTCCACGGCTTTGGCATCGCTATGGTTAGCACGGGGTCCTTGCCTGATAAAGGTGAGACTCATTACTACTTCTGGACAAACAGATGAGTTAAAAAGTATTTCGTTTTCTATGCCAAAGAAGTTTTTCTGAGTGTCTGTTGAAACTGTGTGAAAAGTTTAAGATCTACATATAGATAAATTTTAATAGCACTGTATATTAAAGTATAGTTGTTTATTCTCATTTTACAACTTCTTTATCGTCAGCACCTACGATTCTGACCAAGATTGAGAATATCTTGGATAACAGAAACCTGAATCAGGAGGTGATAACAGCCTTTCTGGTTGCTCTTAAAGAGGAATGGATGAAGTAAGTACTAACTTTCCGTTGGGATTTCTTCGGCCCCCCCTGGTTCAGTAGGTAATTTATCTATAGCATTGGTATTTATAAGGGTTTCAACATTTGTTTTAGTTTTTAGCATTTATACATTGCACCATAAGTAAACTTGTTTTGTTTTGTCAGCAAGTTATGATCAATGTTTCCATTCACGACTTTGTTCCCTACAGCAGTTGTAATTGAGTCCGGCCTGGTCTCAAGTGAGACGAATGGCTTTCACACAGTTCATCTGAGTACCTTGCGACTTACCTCTAGGTTAAGTGACTAGTGAACGACTTTTTTATTCCAGCAACCGCAACTTTTTGAATCTACATGTATCTGTTATATGCAACAATGTTACGATGGACAGTACAAACTCATTATGGGACAGAATGATTTCCATACAGCACAAACATTAACTGGTCCCCCGTGCTTTGGTCTTGCTTTGGCAATCCACAGCAAAGTCAAGCTGCTTTTCAAGTTCACCCGGGCCGGTTCCCACACTGAGGAGGAGACAGAGAGGCTGTTGAAAATTCTCAAGGCAAAACCAGAGGACAAATCCCTTCTGAAATTCTGGATAACAGGACTCAGTTCTCAGTATCGCTCCCACCTGCTGACCACTTCCAGCATGGGTGCTTCTAACTCGTGATTTTCTGGCAGAACAAGTCTGTTGCGTTTGAGGAAAGATTACCGCCAAGAGTACCTCTCTTCTCCCATCATGGAATATTTTGGTCAAAAACTCACACAGGGAGAAATGAAAGTTCTTGTAGATCTGATAGAGTTCTATTTAAGTCATTGAGTTACCGATTGATTGTCACTGGACCACGTCATCAGGTCTCAAATTTCAACGAGACCTGCAAGGTTTAGTGTACTATATTGGTGATACTAAGTTGACATCATGGCAAGCATGTTTGGAGTGACTTTAATTCACATTGTGGGTTTTCTGGTTTGCATGTGTATGTATGTTCAAAATCAAAATATGATTAACATTGGAAAAGTGCCAAATTGAGAAAGTATCAGTTGAAGCCTGTTAATTCCTTCCGGCTTGTTAATCAGTGATAGCTCATTATAAAGGTGCAATTTACATTTTAATATGATTCAGGGTGTTGTTTAACATTACTATATTTCCATTTAAGTTATACCAAATGTCCTGGTTTACGTAGCATTTGGCACGGTCCGTTGTCAGAGAGAACATTCGCGAATCGTCTTCAGAGAAAGTAAGGCTACTTCCCCCACGGTTTTATTTCTTTAAGAGTCACTTTCACGAACAGTTTTTGTTTGCTGCTTTTTAATCACGTCTGGAACGTGTGGCAAAACCTTCAATCCTGTAACATTTAAAGTTGCATGAGAATATATAAATTAACCTTGATTGTGGGTTATAGAAAGGAAAGAATACCAAAAGGATTTCTCTTCAGATGAGGAATGTTTGTTATTCACTTCAATAGATTTGGTTTAATTTGATATCATAATTTTGTACAAAGTGCATTAATTTCATCAATAAATGAAACAACATTGTAGACAATTTTTATTAAACAAGATCTGATTAAATAATGTACACTTTTTGAAGTGTTCAAAAAAATCCAAATCAAGTTGAAAAAAGTGGATCTATTTTTGGCATTTCTGCAGTTTTAGTTGTCGTATTATACACATTTGGTATTGTTTACCCGTACAAATAGCCTTGACTAAAAAGAAAATTACATGAGAAATAACTTTTGCCAAACTCAAAAATCCAGTTATCAGCACACATTTTTTGGACAAATTTTGCACTGGTCTCTCAATCAACCATACTTCTAATGGAAAATTAAAAACCAACACGAAGGAGTGGGTCACTCACAATTAACATGATATTTGTTTTGTTTTATTTTGCATGTGTATAGCTGATAATCCCCGCATAAACTGATCTCGAATATGATTGACTTCACCTGCAGTTTAACAGATGTTAGCACAGACTTTCTACATATTATATTTTACAACAGGTCAAATATAACTCGTCGGGTGCCCGGCAGAAGGGCGTAAGCGCACTTACGCCCTTTCGCCAGGAAGCATGATCACAGCAGAAAAAATGTTCCCGGCAAAAGGGCGTAAGAAACACACTCTTTTTATTTAGTAAAAACGGATATAATTTACTACAAAATCAACCAGGGCTGTACAAAAAGCAACCTTTGAACAACTTATTAAAGGACTTGGGCATTTTTTTTAAACTTTTGTCAAGAAATCTTCATGTTTCATTAAAATACAATAGTTGCATACTTCCGTCCTTTTGCCGGGAAAATTTTTTTTTGCAGTGATCATGCTTCCCAGCAAAAAGGCCTAAGCGCTTACGCCCTTCTGCCGGGCACACAACAAACTGAACTAACAGGAGCGGCAATTTGCAATGAGCACATCTTGACAACCCGAAATAATCAGGGACAAAAATCTTGTTTGAAAAACTTACAAATTTCTAGGGTTGCAAATAAATTTGAAAATGCAACAAACAATATTTCAGAATAACAAGACAACATATGACAATTATATACATTACATCATAAATTCTACTTAAATAAGTATCACATATTCAATCACATATTTAATGTTTAATAACATTAAGTGAGTGCCTAAATGGTAATTTATATTTTTTGGATAAAAAGTGCCAATTACATGTAGATTTACATTTAAGGTGCTATTCAGTTCAAAGTGCATGATTATCTTTACAGTACAAGTTTGATTTTTAAACTAACAGAAAGATAAGGAACACTTAAAAATTAAAAATGCAGTACTGTTGTTAATTTCAGAATGTAACTGTGCACATTCACAAAAACAATCTTATTTCCCAGATTTTGTGACATAGTATTTGAATAATAGTTACATATCAGAATCTAATACAGTATGGAGGCACATGACAGTCCCCACAATTTTCCTTTCACATGTTCCTTAACCTGGCACACACACAAGCACATACATACGGTATTCATCAAGGAACTATTCAAATTCAAGTGGTATAGCCAGGGTCTAGCAAACGGGTCTTGGGGAAGTGGTGGGGGAGTGAATGGGAGTTCCCAATTTTCTTAAAGGGGGCATTCCATGGTTTCAAACTGGAGGGCACATGGTCATACACATGTAGGTGGGGAAAGAACAAGCATCATAAGGCCAAACAAAAACTTCATTGTGTTTCCTATTACATTGAAAAATAAATTAGGGTGGTTGGTTGGGTAAAATATTTTTTTTACCCAAAATTTTTATAGCCCCAAAAATTAGGGTTGGATGATGGTCTACATTTGGGGGGGGGGTATATTTGTAACAGGTACTAAGTCAGTGTCAGATTCATGCTGTACATTTGTATGTCAATATTATATATCAGCACTGTGATTGAGTAGTAAAGCAGCTGGTTGTTGAAATACAAACACACAAGCCGTCCATCTCATGCCAAAAAAATCTGAACAATTTATACAATGTACAGGACGATGTGTATGTACACAAAATTAGGCTTGGGGCAAGGCACCATAAGTTTTCATATTTTATTGATTTGTCGAATGAAAAGATATAGGTTCCGCGTGATTTTCCAGGTTGAGTTAGGTAACCAGAAAAACAGATATTTTTCGTTTGGCCTAAAAGGGGTTGTCGAGGGCACGGTTTTGAGTGGGCCAGCATTCCAATCAACTTCTCATTAATTTTGGTTTTAGTAAAGGATTTGCAGCCAAGGAAGGTTGTAAATTAAAACCTACAGTTCTTGCGCAATTCTACTAGGCAGACCGATACGGTGGGGGCATATCCTAAAGTACTTACTCATGCTGTCCAAACTTGACCACCTGTAATAACCTTCCCAATATGCTTTAATAGGCCTGTGTACTGATGACATCACTCTTTGTTTATATGTGCCCTTTCCTATGGAGCCTGTGGGGGCTCATAGTCCACTGAGCACCACAGGAAGGCACAGACGTAATCAAAGTGTGGCATCATCAGTGCAGAGGTCTATTGAGGTATTCATCATTTCAGTATCTTACAATGTTGCAATCAAGACCTTCACAAGACCATCACATCCTCACAAGATCTGTGCTCTGCATTCAAGTCACAAGCTATTCAACTGAATTGTAACAAAACTATTTCCGGTGTCATTGTTCACCCTATTTTTTTTGTGTCTGGTCTCCCGACTGGGCTTGTGTGATCTTGTGATGGTCTCAACATTAATATTGATATCTGAATAATTGTCGGAGCATCTTTTCACTGTTTCATACTCCCTTTCAATTCATCCAAGAAGTAACAGCTGAGTTACAGCCAGAGCTGAGAATACATGTAAGTGTAAAGAAGTGACTGGGTTCACTTGGAGAAGGAGGCGTGGCTTGAAAGGGTCACACATCAACTCTATGGCAGCGATTAAACTAATGAGCAGGATGGATTCATGAAGATAACTGAGTGTATATATGATGCCCAGATAAAAAACCCAGAGATTGATGAGTTGCAACTGACCAGAATGATTTTGGGATGAAGTACCAATCTTGAAGAAACTGTGATTTAATAATGGAAAGAGTAGAACTGAAAGCAGTGGTGAAATCTTGCAAATATGGAACAGGAAACCATGGTGATTAGGAAAAAAACAAAGTAAAACGCCATAAGTTTACTGGAATATATATACACGTACCCACTGAACGATGACTTCAATGTACGTGTAACGTTACCATTATCCCAGAATAAAGGCGCCTTTCCATATGTATATTTTTTGTTGTGTTGCATACAGGATGTGTTCATACGTTTCACTTTCACGGACACGAAAAACGATCCATTAACATAACACACGTATGCGTTGCGTTCGGCCGTTCACCCCGGGAGGGATTTTGACGGATACACAATGCTTGGCTCAAGTGTTGACGGGCAAAATGGACGGGCGCCTTAAAACTAAAATCTGTACTCCAGACTCCTCTATTTTGGATACCGACACAAGAATCACTCTATCATCTTACAATACCAAGACTAAAGAATAAATGGGTGTACTCACAATTGTCAGCAATGCACAGTAAAAGCAAAGTCAGAGGTATTCTGGTCAGCGATACATTATATTGGCAAACTTGGTTCAGGGTGGAGTGTATGGTGAAAAGGGACCAAATGTTTGGGGGCACATAACTGATTACCGCTCGGTCGTCCAAGAGTGAGCGACTTTCTTACAGTAGGTATATCCTGAGATTGTTAAGTTTGCCACGTAAGCACAACTTTCTGGCTAGCTGTTCCACATGTAGAACCAGTACAGTGACTGTTCACATTTCCAATGGCTGAAGCATGGTTATCCTTTCTGGGAACGGAAATCAATGATTTGACTCCTGCTACATCGGCAAGTCTTTCCAGAAAGCCAATGGTAGGGATGCAGTTCTTCCAAGCCTGAAACTGGTGGGCCATTGCTTTGAATGCATTTGGGGTTGAGCAATCAGGTCTGTCTTTTAAGTGTCATCTTTAAGTACTATCCATTGGAATTTAGCCAAGGATCTCAATGGCAGGCAGTGAAATATCTACAATAGACTTGCAACATAAAAGTGTTCAGATGTCGGGCACGAAACAACACTTTGACGTAGCACTGAAGAAAGAACCGCACCGCTGTTGGCGAGAAGTATAAAGATCTAGTTCAACTGCAGAACTGGTTCCTACCTCAGCTGATTAATTTTGACCAGTCTGCACTTGTTCACATTATATCACAAATCCATTCGATAAATCCTGGACAAGTCTCAAACCCTACAGTTTCCTGTTCATCTCCACCACCTTGGTTTTTGCAATTTTGCCCAGAGGAGGGCAACCCCGACAATGACGCCAAACACGGCATAGCGGTACAGCTGTTTGTAGCGTGACGGCAGCACAAGCAATGCGTAGTGTACTCCTCCTTCTGGATCTAGGTAGAACACAAATTCCAGAAGTGAATGGGAAAACAAACAGGAAGTTTCTCGAACATTCTGTTCCCACGCTGGCTAATAATACGTGCGATTGTGGACGCTGTGCCAATGGCTACCTTGATGAAATGTGGTGCAAACTCGGGTAAGAACTTTGGTATGACGCAGAACTATCTCCTCCTCCGGATGGAAATAAATGTCCACACAATGACTATGGCTGCAAACACCCCAAACATGGCATAGCGATAGAGCTGCTTGAACCTTGACGGCAGCTCTAGTAATGCATAGTGAAGGTTTCCAGATTCATCTGTGTAAAGCACAAATCCCAGATATCTGTTAGTTGCAAAGAAGTAAAACTGGCTGAGCTTTGTTGACAACACACCGACTATCGAGTCCAACTTTTATCTGACCACATTTTCTAGGTTGCCAGGCATGGATGCCTGCAGTGCATAACCATTGCTGTTGTACAGCTACAATGCAAACTCAATTCAAAGCTGAGCTCACTCAAACTTTGAAAGTACCAGATTTTTCTACAGGCGCAAAAATGTCACCTCTGTCCATCTTGGATTCATCAAAACGAGGACCTCTGCAAACCTAGCTGATCTAATAATCAAGGGTCAAGGGACCAGCAACACCGACACTGACCAACATTTATGACTCTAACTCACCAATGACTGCGGCGGCATATGCCATGTGTGGCACACCCATCCTGTAGCTGCATGTTGGAATTCTATACTCCTCTGTGACAAAGCTCTGCTCTTCTGGAGTGAGGTCAGCGATGGGTCTCTTCTCTATTTTGTAGACTCCCTTGAATGTCTCCACCAGCTTGGACAGACTGTGCTTGACAAAGCCTGACTGTTAACAGAGTTTGGAGAGGGAATGACAACTAGTTATGAAATTTAAAAAAAAAATTGTCAATGTCCAGGGTGAAAGATTGGAATTGCCCAGTTCTCTAGTATAACAGCTTCAGCAGAGATTTTTCCAGTTTTCAAGACATCTCTCGGTGTAAGACTTGGACTCTTGTTCTAAAGTATATATATGTCCCTGAGCAGGATCATTTTCAGCAACTCTCTTTCCTCCATCCAGAGGGCAACAGTAAAGGAGCAGTTTGGTCTCAGTGCTAGAAAATGACAATGAGCACGTCAATGAATGTACTAGTTGGCGTACACAAAGCTCTTTAGGATGGTTAGCAGTCTTCGCCAATCAACGCATGCCCAACAGCTAGGAATAATACTTGATTTAACTTCTTGAGCAATGGCTGGTATGAGCTGTCCTACAGGTGCTGCAAAACATTACAATGACAATGACATATGTCATATGGGCATATCGCTCACAATGCTTTACTCTGTAATGGCAATGAGATCAAGATAAAGTGGTATCAACGTTTGATGTACTCTTCAGAAAACTTACACGATGTGAATGAGCACTGAAAGCACATTGAGGTCTCAGAGTACGTAATACCTGCAGACAAACAGAATTCCAAATGACATCTACACATATAGATGTAAACAACAGAGAGGAACAGGTCAACCAGCATCAATTATTCAAAAGTGAGCGGTGCCATCATCAAGCCAACAAATTCAGTAATATTAAACTTGGTTGTAAAGGCCAATTCGTACTTGGTGCCAAAGTGAATGCAAACACAAAATCATGACATCAGATCAAACACTCACACTGCTAATCTGTAAAAGTTAAACGCATTTCAATTTAAGCAAATTTCACTGCAAATATTTTGTGAAGTCAAATTTGCTTTACTTATCACATTCTGAAGAAGCATGAGCCAGCCTTAATGTTGAAAGTGTTACCACTGAACTTAACTCATACATGTAACTGTATTCAAAGATTCAACACTAATCTACTGTACATTCTCAGTGAAGTAGGAGCCAAAATGGTCAACTATAATGTGCATGCCCAACGGGTTAACCTATCTTAAAGGGATAAACATTGCATCCTGAACCTGACATAAACTACACCTACCTCTATATGTCTGTACAGCATGGTGCTTGACATGCCTATATGTGACAAGACTATTCTCACGGTGGATTCCTTGGACTGATCAGCCATCTTTTCAAGCTCTGCTTGCAGTATCTGATCTTTTTCTTTACCCACAACGTGTAAATATGGCAAAAAATCAATCTGTGCAGAGAGGAAACGACAGGGGAATAAACACCTCCGATATATACACACACCAGGACTTCAAAAAGTGATGATTGTTGTACTGCTGTGTGGCTTTTGGTTACACAGAGCAACTCATAAATGGCTTTCAAGAAATTTTAATTTGTAACTTGACTTACAGGGGTGAATGATGAAATCCTGACATGTTCCTACAACAAGCCATAAAAGGGCAAAAAGGGTGGCTCACTCACATTAAACTGTATAGCCATCATCTATGCAAAGTTTTCTCCAGGATATTTGAATTAAAATGATGTAAACTGCTTCTAAATAATCCTCAATAAATCTACACAATGAACGAGTACTTCCCTTAGGTGCATCAAGTTACATTTGCCCCACTTAATTTGCCTGGGTTCAAATACCACCAAAGGCAGTGAACAGATTTCTGCTGTAAACAAATTGTCAACAACTCTCCCTTAGAAGAGACGATTAAATAGAAGAATACCTTGAAGAATGTAATGTGTTTGTAGTGAATAGCTTCTGTCAGTGGGCCAAAATGTTTTTCAAATCGTTTAATCTTGGCCTCTGTCAGGGGGTCTGACCCTTCACCACCAATGTCATTGTCGCCGGAAAGATGAATCACGACAGACTGGGGAAGAAAAAGTTAAAAAAAAAAAGATTGCCGTGATCTGAATATTTGTTCTGTCAAAACTTTTTTTCAGCGCTTCAGGACAGGAGATTAAAGGTTGACACGGTTCAAATTGAACTAAAGACCTCCGCTTACAAACACAGCTCAGTGTTTGATTTGATAAAAGCTTGCTCATTACACATTTTGGCTAATTATGCATATCATACCTCAATAGGTGAAATTAGACAAAAATCGCTCAAAATAATTTTTAATCAGCTGGCCCATATATCAAACTTGCATGAAATGTCATATGAAAAGCACCATCATAAAAATTACACTGTCACTATAAGCCAAAAGGTCAGCTCGTTGGTGAGACTGTTAATTTCACATACACATCTCTTGCACAGACCCGAGTCTGTATTTATACAACAAAAGGTCAATGGTCAGAAAGTGTCCCATGTCTTGTAATAATATCTGTTAATCCTCTAAAGTAAGGTCTAATACCCAACCTCAACCAAAGCATTGCAGCCAGTTGGTCAGATGTCACATTCAGTAAACACATGAGATGTATCACTTCACGTAAAATAGCAGCTTTATCATTTTGTTAAGTGACTGATGGATTCCTTCCTCATGGATAAAAATTGTAGACTACCTTCATGTATTCAGGTACTGCAAAAAGCTCCTTGAACCTCTTGGCATATATTTCAAATTCGACATCCGTTGATATACTGCCCTCGTCTAATAAATCACCCATTGTGACAATCACGTCTGGTTGGATGTATCCCAATGCCTCCTGGAAGTACTTCTGCAAGTACGTGTCCGCATCCCACCTACAACACAAAATGGAAGATTTCCACGGACCTGTTTGATTCTATCATAAACCGTAAGTCCAAACTCCTTCACAATCTAACATCTGATTCTGCAATATCTGAATGGATATAACATCTGAGATATTTTTAATGGAAACCCTCCTGGATCCTTTTAAGTCCTCAAAATGACCAGGAAAGTAATAGCACACTCTTTGTACTCCTGCTTTCAAGGGGCACCAATAACCATAAAATTCCATTCCATTCCTACAAACTCCATCAAAACCTGATGGAGTTTGGAGGATCAGAGAGTGAAGGCTAATACTTGTCTTTGAGTGTAAGGAACATACTGAACCTTTACAGCACAGTGTATGAAGTTGAAATACTCAAGAAGCTTCTGATTTATAAACAAAGATGTCCAGAGAGTTATAAAATGTTCTGGCTTTCCCAATGTCTCTAGAAGATTGCAGGTAATCCCAATGCGCATACTGAGCATAGATAAATCTAACTTCTACTATGTTATCCCCTTAAAAAACGGGAAAACCTAACGTTCAGTGCATCCATTAGAGCAGCTTCCATCAAGATAATCCTGACTTCAGATTGTCGTGTGGGGACAAGGTCAAACCTGAGACAACTCAAAAAAATTTGATGGAATATTCACTTAATAATGTTGGTATAGTGAGAGGGACGTTGCCGGTTAAATAAGTTCCACTGCACTGACTCACTGAGTCAATTTTTGTTTGAATACCTTGTGATGTACCCCAGAATGGCAGGCTCGTCCCGGTAGCCCTGAATCTGGGGATCACCCACAAACAGAATCCGAACAGGATCATGAAGGGTCCCAGACTGCATCCTGGCAGGATTTGCGGTGCTGCCTGTCGGATCCACGATGGACTGTCTGGCCCGTGTCCACTGGCTCTGCTTGAGGAGGTAGAACTCGAGGTACTCATTGTAGATGATCAGCCCCAGGGCACTCACCATCAGCATGGTGTAGCAGGAAGGTGGGGCAAATTTCTGCATGATGACTGAATGACTCCACCCTCAAGTGAGCAAAAATTAAGCAACAACAAAATTAGAACTCACAACTACTGTTAAAAAAACTTATAAAGAAACTCCACATGCCTGCCCTTAGTATGACAACTAATCATAGTTGACAGTTTGCATGATGGTTGTCCATCACGGTAGCCAAGAAATTCAACCATTTTTAGTTTACAGAACTTTCTCTCTGACAAAGGTATGCAATTTGGGCTTTGACAAAAATGAGGAAATTCCAATCTTGCCAAGACTTTGTACAATGTTTTTCAATTTTTCAATGGCATGAGTATGAAGTGAAAAGCGAGGAAATCAGCTGATCCTAGGAAAATTTGCATGCCTGCTGACATGCTCCTACTCATTTCATTTGCAACTAGACTTCTTATACATGTAAATGCAAATGGAACAACTAGCCATGTACGGTACGTCATATGTGAGTGTGGGTGAGTTTGTTTCTGCATTCAATTGGGGATCCTGAACAATAGAGGACAATAAGGTCCCCGATTGACAGAGGGTCCCCGATTGACAACTGTGTACAAAACATATGGGTGGTCTTCTGAAAAAGTTAAAGTACAAACAAAAGAGGAACAATAGGGGGTCCCCAGTTGCAGGCAAATACACACTTGTACTGTGTGTTTGTGTGTGAAGGTAGCTGCATGTTCTCTCCTGTATGTCTAGCATTTAATTGGGTTTCTTCCATTCCACACACTGTGCAAATGGAAAAAGTCCCATGCATGGATATCAGCTGAAACCAGTGTACACAAAAGGCTATATTGCTGTTATAAAAATTCTATCCCTTGTTAGAATATTGCCACTTTCTGATGGCTGATATAACACTGTCAAGACTTGAGAAAAATCAGTATTGTTCGTGTCTGAATATATTCTCGTCACACCCCCTCACTTCTAGAACTGGCCCATCTGTCCCTTCACAGCATAAGTGTGCACGTGATTAACAGGTTGGCCATTTATGATTGATGACAAAATGTAGGCCCAACAATGGCAACATGCTTATTGAAATTTAAGACCTGGGCAACCCAAGCAACCCTTGAACCGGTCAACTGGTAGTCCAAGTGCTTTTCAATGCAGTGATCAAATCTTCAAAGTATACTCATCAGTGACGTTAATATTACACATGGATGTACGGACGCCACTTGACACCCTGTGCACAAACCCTGTGAGATTGGTCTGAGTAAGTGCTCTCTCACTGTCACTGTGGTCTGTACTGTCAGCATAGACGATGCATGAACTGACATGACTGATCTCTTCTGGACATGTTTTTGCTTTCTGATGGCTATAAAGTCACTGTATGGAAGGAATACTAGCATGCCATGACTGGCGTCCGTATATGTAACTCTTCCCTCAATATAATTTTTAAAAAAAGCTATTGTAAAAGTTTATAAAACGCACTGGTTTTAAATCCAAACTCATTCACGATCTTCAACTTTCAGCCAAACCATCTCCAGCTCAAAAATAATGAAATCCCACCTCTGCAAACTAACTGCACATTCTCAACCCGAATATGTTGCGCACCCGACTAGTGACTACAGAATAAACTAAAGCGCCCTCTGCGGTGACATACCTAAAGTCTTGGAAAATTTGCCAGTTGATGGGTGGGGGTGTTTGGTAAAAAAACTGCAAAAATCTGTGAAAAGCAGCAACAGTTTGAGATTTTTCCATTGCTTTTATATTGTAGTATTCATGGACTTCGTTTAAATTGAAATCATACAAAGGGTTTGTGACTAAACCGGTTCCAAGATGGTAAGTTTTTGCTACTAAGCAACAGACGCCAAACCGCTCATGCTGAATAGGCCTAGGCCTATATTGTATTACATGTGCCTGGCTTTGGCATGATCGTGAGATCGTGATCCAGCTTGTGTGTGTTATGTTGGGCACGATCGGTGGAATAATGCACGATCACTCGATTTTTGGGCGATCAGTAGATCCTACTACACAATTTGTCGGTAATTCTGCCATCAGCCAAATGTGGTTGTGAAAGATTGTTTTCAAAATAGGAAGTAAAAGTGGAGATTTCATGCAGCATCGACCGGGCAGGTCGGCTGATTGTGCCCAACATTATCTGAATTAATATAGCCTAGGCCTAGGTCCTACACGATGAAGCCTTGAGGCCTATACATGTGCAGCATGGGAAGAGTTCCAATTGAACTTCCATATACAGATGCTAGTAATTCTTCTTTACAGTGACTTAATAGCCATCAGAAAGTAAAAACATTACCAGAAAAGTTCGATTTGCGGGGGAAAATACCAAGTCGTTTACTGAGAAAGCACTTCGAATTTTTCAGACCAATCTCATAGGATTTGTGCACAGGATGTCAAGTGGCATCCGTACATGGAACTCTTTCCATACAGCATATTGCATGCATTACAGTGCATGTTTCACATTGTAATGTTCAGCCAATCTCTGTTTATTGATGTTACACTCACAATTTGATTAATGCAGATATCTTGTTTTTTCATTTTTACAGAGTGTTAAAAACTTGTGAAGATATGATCAGCTGGTTGAAATCAACAGTTTCATACCTGACATTTATTTTTCAGGAGAACCTTTTTTTTTTTAGAGTGAGCGTGGGATGGTACGAGATTTACCCGTTCTGTCATTCGGCAATTTTTGCAGGCAGACATTGGCATTTGCAAAGTTCAAAAATTTGGTGCCAAAACTGTAGATGTCACGATTTGGAGATCAGACTTTAAAAATCAAGTGAATACCGCATTTGGTTGAATGCTTAATGGACAGTTGTGATTAGTAGATCTGCAGGGTTAGCTGCATTCAAAGTCAACTGTACGGTAAGATCTACAAGATCTGCCCATTCTGTTGATTATGCCGCCATCAGTAGATCGGTTTTTCTTTCTAATTCATGGTTCTGAAAGTTTGTTCCGAAGTGAGTTGACATAACTTCACCTACACAGTAATTAATGCCTCAGGATTGAAAGACATGGGGTACTATCCCCATACAGTTGAACCGATTTAAAGTAAGGTTATTGGGATTTCAAAAAATTGTTATAACAGGAACCTTGCATATTTATGGAAGACTTAGGTTCTACATTGTCCTTGTTTTAAGCAGGTGTAGTTAAGTAACAAGGCTGCTGTTTTTGTTGAGGTTCGACTTAATTAATTGACCTTTGTTTCTTTTTTGTTCAGATGCTATCGAGGCAAAAGCCGGCCACTGGGCCCGGCTCAAGTACTCCGGCTCAGGAGAGCAAGAAGAAAAGCAGCTACCTAAGCTAGAGGAATACCTAGATATGAGGGACTACACGGGTGCCATCACCTTGCTGGAGGTGAGTCAGTGGGGTCCATCTGTTATTTTACCATAGCAGTGTTTCTCCTGGGGTAATTTACTGCATGGGCCAGCTTGTTAGTATACATGAGGTGTGAAGTACACATTTGTGTTTTGTATCATTTGGGGAGGGGCGGGGGATTTTAAATTCAGTAGGAAGTTGAATGGTCTTCATGGTAGTTGAGGGTGCTCCAGCAAGCATCAGGTTTGTACTTGATGTGATTTCTTGCTGCGTATAAATTGAGAAGCACGCCCTCAACTGAATCAAAATTAAAGGTGCAATAGTTTGCTCGAACTTCAGTTAGCTTTTTGTTTCGTTTTACTGTGATCTGAGATATCAAGTTTGAAAATTTGACAAGTTTGACATAAAATATTGCGGATATGAGAGTCTTGTTTCCCCGACTTTGTCATACAGTTCACAAGGAGCAGTGGCAAAGGCAGTGACGAGACGGACATGTGGCTGGGCTACTGCCACTTCCACTTAGGAGACTACAAGTTGGCCATGGAGGAATATGAGAAGATGAGCAAGAAGGAGGCGGTCAACCCCGAAGTCTGGGTCAACCTGGGCTGCTGCTACTTCTTCCTGGGGATGTACCCGGAGGCAGAGACTGCAGCAAAGAAGGGTAGGTGGGAAATTTTATTCCAAGGAATCAATTTCTTTTCTAACTGCTGTAAGATTTCTTAGAGTTAAAGACATTGCATGCAGAGAGTGACTTTGTCCGTCTCTTTGATTATAAAATATTTTGTGATCTAGGCTTTCTCTACTGTAGCTATTCAGAAAAAAAGTGAAATGAGCAAACATGCTTGAACTTTAATTCATTTTAAATGATTTTTAAGAATGTGACCTAGTGGCTTGGCGGGAGGGGGGTAAGTGAAAAGTCATTCCCGCAGGCACCTGTATTTCTAGGTCTATTAATATTCATTTTTATTCCCAACAACACAGGCCTGGACAAATCTAGTCACCAGGCCGTGAATGAGGATGGTAGTAAGTTGTTTCTTGTTGTGACTCCAAATCTTGTGTTTGCTTCATTTCAAATTAAACATTACAAACAATACCTGTGCCGTGGTCTGTCTGTTAGAAACCTGCTGGTGGAAGCTTTATCTAAAAACCCTTTCTTTCATGTGGATGATTTGAATGAATGAATTCAAATTCACCTCTTTCGAGTGTCATCACGATTTTATAAACAAATGCTTTGAGCAAAGAAAATGGTGGTCTCATATAAAGAGATTTCAAATTCCTTCTTGTGTGTACTTCTTATTTGTCCTGGCCTGTATCTCGTGGTCTTATTACCCGTAATTATTGCCAATCCTAACCTTTCTCGGTCTGTCAAACCCAATGCACTTGATGTTTAATACAGGGATGTAGATCATAGCCACTAGTACTGCATTATGAGTCCTTTTCTCCTGATTTTTGTAATTTCTCTGTGGCAGCAGCTCTAAAGTGAAACAATTTGCAGATAAAGGGAACTTTTCAACCAATATTATATCAAATCCATTTTAGGCATTTTGAAATCAGTTTCACAGTTGTTAACCCATTTACTAATGTAACCTCCTAAATGAAAAAAAATCAATTTGTATTAAACTTTCCTTAAAAGCAGTGTCACGGTCCGTATTGTCATTGTTAGACAAATGATTGGCTTTTATTTGATCAGAACAATTCATCAAACATTTACATGTAGATTTTGGAACATTAATTGTGAGGGTTTTGTCTTAAGTTGGTTTTGTAGTTCACAAAATAAAGTGCCATTTTGTTGTCTCGATGGGCTAAGAGATGTCATCTAGTCAGTGATGTAGTCAAGTACTTTTTGAGAACCAAGTTCTCTACCAAATATTTAACTAGTTAGGAGGGATCAAAGCTGAAGTACATCGGCATTTGATGGTACATGCATAAAGGTAAGATTACAAAGCAACATAATGACTTCAGACCTTCACTGTTTGATTGAAATTAACTTTTTAGGACAAAAGTACTCGGAAAGTACTCGGCCGAGTACTTTCTGAGTACTTTTCTCCTCAAAACTTAAATTTTACACAACTGGGAGTGTCTGAAGTCTAACATTTATTTTGTAATCTTACCTCTGCACATTTACCATCAAATGCCTGTGCACTCTGGCTTTATTCCCTCTTNCGGAGAACGTTGGTACTCGGAAAGTACTCGACTACAACACTGCATCTAGTTGTAGAAGATAGTTGTTGTTGTCACTCATTTGAATAACTGCACAGAGTTTGCTTCATCATCTGTGATTTCTCATTCGGTGATTACACTTTATCTGTCCCATGCCAGCAAGTTGGTCTTTAGATTGGTTGTTTGGTCTGCCAAAAAGCTTCATGATTTCATAGCACATCTGTTCGCTTTGGTTGTTGTGTTGCTTTATATGTGTTTTATTTTTATATTTTCCGGTGATGTGCTTTGTAAAGGCCTTGTGAGGCAGAGTATACGTGTAACAGGCAAACACTACAATTAAAATGGCTTCACTGTCTTTTCAAATTTGGCTGATTAATATATAGTAATTTAGTTTTGTGTATGAGGCTTTCATTTTAAATTGTGGCATTCATCATCAACAAGGCTTCATATTTGTAAGACAGCAATAGCAGTGCGATAACTTGGATGACAGAAAATCAGCCAGGAGGAGATTCATAGTAAAGTTTGTCTCTAACAACAGCAGAAGGTTACTCTTCAACTAAAGAAAGCCTTGAATCTTACATGTATGCTAGTTCTTGTGGGTAGTTTGTCAGTCATGTGGTCCGTCATGTGGTCTGTCATGTGGTCAGTCAAGCCAGTCAGTTGTTCATCATCAGTCCAGTAACAGTCCTTTTGCCCTCTCATCATCCTGTCAATTGTTTCCTCATTTACAGTGCCCAAGAGCAGTCTGCAAAACAGGTTACTGTTCCACTTGTCACAGAAGGTAGGCAATGCAGTTTATGCAAACGGATTGCTTAAAATGTTGAGCGCTCTCGCTACATACCTTAAATTAAAATGTTTTCAGTGCATTCCAGTGCACTGCTGATAAAATCTGGTGTGCTGGCGGTCATGAAAATGGTGGGATGCCCAGAATTTTCAAATGTCCTGTGTCATTTCGCTTCAGTTTAATGACGAGAAGAAGCTGATGTCCCACCATCAGAACCTGCAGGATATTATACAAGACCAGCTAAGTCTGGCGTCCATACATTACCTGCGCAGCCACTACCAAGAGGCCATAGACATCTATAAGAGGATCCTGCTGGATAACAGGTGTGTCAAGCTACGATGGTAGCTCATACCATCTCACTCGCTACTGGTATTTCAGACTGTTGCTGTAAGAGTGAGGTGCTCATGTGATGTCGAAAATTGCTGCTTGATAATTGCAAGGAGACGCACATAATTTCAAACTGCTTGAATTTCAGACTGTCATTTCAAAATGCTTGTGCTAAATAGTGGACGATTTCTAAGCCAGCCTTTTTGGTGTACAAAAGATCGTCAAGCAAATTCCAGGGTCAGTTGTAAGAAACTACCAAGCACTACCTTTTGCTTAACGTAGAAAACATGCTCAGTAGCAACCAGTTACTCCTCAAGAAGTGTTTTCTGTGTGACGGATTCATTACTGGTTTTAAGCTAAGTATTGTTTCATGCCTGGTTGCTCCATAAATTTGGTTACGAATAAACATCTGAAATTGCAACAAATATAATGAAGCTCTTTAATCACCTAATGGGGTTACAAAACATTACCAGTAAAATGAATTGTAATCGTACATTTGTCAAGTTTTCAAGGACCATGTAACTTTTCCGTACAATGCTTTAAGCTAAAATTAAAGGAAAATTACTTCTTTTTTTCATTTGGCAGAGATTATCTAGCTTTGAATGTATACGTAGCCCTGTGCTACTACAAGTTGGACTACTATGATGTCTCCCAGGAAGTGTTGGCTGTATATTTGCAGCACTACAACGACAGTGCTATCGCCCTCAACCTCAAGGCCTGTAATCACTTTAGACTGTACAATGGAAAGGCTGCGGAGGTGAGGATTATGAGAATTCTGTTCCGAGTCCCTTATCGTTTTCTTGGACTCTGATAAAAGTGGGAAGTTTCTGCCAGATTTTGATGACTGATTGTCTCAATGGCTTTTTTGATCGATGTTCAGTCATTGGGGTTTGTTGGATTCAGTGAGTGCTTTGCTGCCATTGCATGAGTTTTCAGAATTTTATTACAAAGACAGGGTTTAAATGGAATGCTCTTCAACTTTGAAAGAGTCTTCATGAGTTGAGCACAACTTCATTCATTTTGGTATTTGCAGCTTACTTTTTGAATTAAGACTCGTTGGACAAATTAAAAAAAGTTCGGTTTTAAATCTATAGTCTAGTGTTGGAATTTCTTGTGGTTGTAAGATGACTCTAAAAATTGGATTTTGGTTACAATTTCACAGGCAGAACTGAAGAATCTTCAGGACCTTGCATCTCCATCATTCACGTTTGCTCAAGACCTCATCAAACACAATCTGGTAACTCCACCTGATTTTTAAGCTTTTCGCTCCCCTTAAAGTGAGGATCCTGTCGATTGGATTTTTAAGGCTTATGAAGAGAATACTGGTCTTAAACTTACACAATTAAAGGAGATCAAATTTCCACAATGATTGTTGCATTATGTGGATTAAATTGTCAGTCCTTTCCTGTCAGATTTCAAGTTCTCAATATTGCTTGTCCTTTTTGCCTTTAAGATATGTTCAGGTTCTTCAATGAGATTAAGCATTATATACAAGCAATTCAAATACTGAAATAAATTTCATTTGAATTCGTGATAAAGTTGAGGAGAGAGCTGTTTATTTAGCACAGGGATTTGCGCTTAAAAGTACTGACTTGTACGTATTTGTATCTTGCTGATCAACAGGTTGTATTCAGGGGAGGCGAGGGGGCCCTACAGGTGTTACCCCCGTTAATTGACGTCATCCCAGAAGCAAGGCTCAATCTTGTCATCTACTATCTCAAGCAAGGTAAATCAAACTGCTTGGAGTGTTGACTCTTCTAGAATAATAATTGATTGTAAATTTTTGTCACACTGAAAAAAAGGGAAATATTAGGCGTCAAAAAGCATCGTGAACTGGAAATATAGAAATGGTACAGTTGAGAGGTCTCAACATTGTGAATCCACGGAGAGTGAAAAAACTTTAGTAGCACTCCATACCTCTTGTGTGACTGTTTTACCTCTCCTTAATTAATCATCCAAGAATGCCTACGGATCGTCTTTGATAGATATGTTTTCTAAAATAAGTATATTGTTAAGATGTGTTTTAAGATGTGTTTAGCTCCAACTTGACTTTTCAGTTTCATCACCAAAACTAACTTGAAATACTTTTAAGCTGACACCAATAAGGCTTTGTCATCTTCATAAATGGAAGTGCTGATTTCGAGATGTTTGATGGATAAAGTTCCTACTCCAGTTGTCACGTACATTTTTATTTCTTTGCAGATGACGTCACTGAGGCATACAACCTGCTCAAGGACGTTGAACCGACCACACCCCAGGAATACATACTGAAGGGCGTGGTCAATGCCGCATTGGGCCAGGAACAAGGCTCGGTAGGTGCAAGACCACACAAGACACTTTGGCATTACTGTAACACAGGTGAAAATGAAACATGACAAGTGTTGGGACATCGTTAAAGCCAGATGAGCTGGCATGTGTGGAGTGTCATTCACCCTTATTTTGACAAATAAGGGGACTTTAATGTCAACCTCTGCCTTCACACAACAAACAGCTGTAAGACTTCATACTTCATTATCAATACATAATTCTTTCACTGAAGATCTTATTTTCAAGATGTATTTTTGCGTTGGGGAGATGTTAATTATATATAACGGGTTTGCCCTTACCCAACGTATATTAATNTATTTTGCAGAGAACGTTGGTACTCGGAAAGTACTCGACTACAACACTGCATCTAGTTGTAGAAGATAGTTGTCGTTGTCACTCATTTGAATAACTGCACAGAGTTTGCTTCATCATCTGTGATTTCTCATTCGGTGGTTACACTTTATCTGTCCCATGTCAGCAAGTTGGTCTTTAGATTGGTTGTTTGGTCTGCCAAAAAGCTTCATGATTTCATAGCACATCTGTTCGCTTTGGTTGTTGTGTTGCTTTGTATGTGTTTTTTTTTATTTTCCAGTGATGTGCTTTGTAAAGGCCTTGTGAGCCAGAGTATACATGTACATGTAGCAGGCAAACAATACAGTTAAAATGGCTTCACTGTCTTTTCAAATTTGGCTGATTAATATATAGTAATTTAGTTTTGTGTATGAGGCTTTCATTTTAAATTGTGGCATTCATCATCAACAAGGCTTCATATTTGTAAGACAGCAATAGCAGTGCGATAACTTGGATGACAGAAAATCAGCCAGGAGGAGATTCACAGTGAAATGTGTCTCTAACAACAGCAGAAGGTCACTCTTCAACTAAAGAATCTTACATGTACGCTAGTTACAACAGTTGCCTAGTTCTTGTGGGTAGTTTGTTAGTCATGTGGTCTGTCATGTGGTCATTCAAGCCAGTCAGTTGTTCATCATCAGTCCAGTAACAGTCCTTTTGCTCTATCGCTCAATCCCCTCTCTTCATCCTGTTAATTATTTCCTCATTTACAGTGCCCAAGAGCAGTCTGCAAAACAGGTTACTGTTTCACTTGTCACAGAAGGTAGGCATTGCAGTTTATGCAAACGGATTGCTTAAAATGTTGAGCGCTCTCGCTAAAGACCTACAATTAAAATGTCTTCAGTGCATTCCAGTGCACTGCTGATAAAATCTGGTGTGCTGGCGGGCATGAAAATGGTGAGATGCCCAGAATTTCAAATGTCCTGTGTCATTTCGCTTCAGTTTAACGACGAGAAGAAGCTGATGTCCCACCATCAGAACCTGCAGGATATTATACAAGACCAGCTAAGTCTGGCGTCCATACATTACCTGCGCAGCCACTACCAAGAGGCCATAGACATCTATAAGAGGATCCTGCTGGATAACAGGTGTGTCAAGCTAGGATGGTAGCTCGTACCAGACTTGCCACTGGTATTTCAGACTGTTGCTGTAAGAGTCAGGTGCTCATGTGACGTCGAAAATTGCTGCTTGATAATTGCAAGGAGACGCACATAACGTGACTGTCATTTCAAAATGCTTGTGCTAAATAGTGGACGATTTCGAAGCCAGCCTTTTTGGTCTACAAAAGATCGTCAAGCAAATTCCAGGGTCGGTTGTAAGAAACTACCAAGCAAAACGTTTTGCTTAACATAGAAAACATGCTCAATAGCAACCAATTACTCCTTAACCCTAACTCCCTAGAGTGTGTGCAAAATCATATTAAAATTGGAGGATTCAGTGCTTTTAGGGTTAAGAATTGTTTTCTTTGTGACGGATTCATTACTGGTTTTAAGCTAAGTAATGTTTCATACCTGGTTGCATAAATTTGGTTACGAATAAACATCTGAAATTGCAACAAATGTAACAAAGCTCTTTAATCACCCAATGGGGTCACAAAACATTCCCAGTAAAATGAATTGTAATAATACATTTGTCAAGTTTTCAAGGACCATGTAACTTTTCAGTACAATGCTTTAAGCTAAAATTAAAGGAAAATTCCTGTTTTTTTTTCATTTGGCAGAGATTATCTAGCTTTGAATGTATATGTAGCCCTGTGCTACTACAAGTTGGACTACTATGATGTCTCCCAGGAAGTGTTGGCTGTATATTTGCAGCACTACAACGACAGTGCTATCGCCCTCAACCTCAAGGCCTGTAACCACTTTAGACTGTACAATGGAAAGGCTGCGGAGGTGAGGATTATGAAAATTCTGTACTGAGTCCCTTATCGTTTTCTTGGACTCTGATAAAAGTGGGAAGTTTCTGCCAGATTTTGATGACTGACTGTCTCAATGGCTTTTTTGATGGATGTTCAGTCATTGGGCTTTGTTGGATTCAGTGAGTGCTTTGCTGCCATTGCATGAGTTTTCAGAATTTCATTACAAAGACAGGGTTTAAATGAAATTTTGGTATTTGCAGCTTACTTTTTAAATTAAGACTCGTTGGACAAATTAAAAAAAGTTCGGTTTTGAATCTATAGTCTGGTGTTGAAATTTCTTCTGGTTGTAAGATGACTCTAAAAATTGGATTTTGGTTACAATTTCACAGGCAGAACTGAAGAATCTTCAGGACCTTGCATCTCCATCATTCACGTTTGCTCAAGACCTCATCAAACACAATCTGGTAACTCCACCTGCNGTTATATACAAGCAATTCAAATACTGAAATAAATTTCATTTGAATTCGTGATAAAGTTGAGGAGAGAGCTGTTTATTTAGCACAGGGATTTGCGCTTAAAAGTACTGACTTGTACGTATTTGTATCTTGCTGATCAACAGGTTGTATTCAGGGGAGGCGAGGGGGCCCTACAGGTGTTGCCCCCGTTAATTGACGTCATCCCAGAAGCTAGACTCAATCTTGTCATCTACTATCTCAAGCAAGGTAAATCAAACTGCTTGGAGTGTTGACTCTTCTAGAATAATTATTGATTGTAAATTTTTGTCACACTGAAAAAAGGGGAATATATTAGGCATCAAAAAGTATCGTGAACTGGAAATATAGAAATGGTACAGTTGAGAGGTCTCAACATTGTGAATCCACGGAGAGTGAAAAAGCTTTAGTAGCACTCCATACCTCTTATGTGACTGATTTACCTCTCCTTAATTAATCATCCAAGAATGCCTACGGATCGTCTTTGATAGATATGTTTTCTGAAATAAGTGTATTCTTAAAATGTGTTTAGCTCCAACTTGACTTTTCAGTTTCATCACCAAAACTAACTTGAAATACTTTTAAGCTGACACCAATAAGGCTTTGTCATCTTCATAAATGGAAGTGCTGATTTCGAGATGTTTGATGGATAAAGTTCCTACTCCAGTAGTCACGTACATTTTTATTTCTTTGCAGATGACGTCACTGAGGCATACAACCTGCTCAAGGACGTTGAACCAACCACACCCCAGGAATACATACTGAAGGGCGTGGTCAATGCTGCATTGGGCCAGGAACAAGGCTCGGTAGGTGCAAGACCACACAAGACACTTTGGCATTACTGTAACACAGGTGAAAATGAAACATGACAAGTGTTGGGACATCGTTAAAGCCAGATGAGCTGGCATGTGTGGAGTGTCATTCACCCTTATTTTGACAAATAAGGGGACTTTAATGTCAACCTCTGCCTTCACACAACAAACAGCTGTAAGACTTCATACTTCATTAACAATACATAATTCTTTCACTGAAGATCTTAGTTAAGTCTTTTTTTTTCCTCCATAGAGAGAACATCTGAAGATAGCACAGCAGTATTTCCAGTTGGTTGGAGGCTCAGCAAGTGAATGTGGTAGGTTCACTGTTCTAGGTTTGGCAAAAAAGAAGCATCGATTCCACCAGAAATCAAAGCACTTTATAGAGTAATGAAATGAAAACATCACGCGTACAATTATCCGTATAAAAGGCATTAGCGTGAGAACCAGCACATGAACCAACGGGCATGCGTATTCCATTTGTTTGCACCGCACTTCCTGGTTCAAAGTGACACCACACTTTGGTACTCTGCACAGGCTTTTACTCCTGATGGGCTCATATGGCCAGGCTTACATGGGCTTTAGGAACCAGGTCATTTTACATTTGAATGTACATGTTTACAGTTATCCCAGAGAAACTACCAATCTGGATTTTAGCGAAATGGTGTCCGCTTTCTTTTCCATTCCGGCGTGACATTTTTACAAATCTACATCCATCTGTACGGTCCCTTGTACAAGGGGGGATGGTTATTCCAGAAAAGGTTCCTCTCTGGTCATGTGTCTTTTTTACATTGAATTTCACATTTCTGCTCTGTTTATCAGATACAATACCCGGACGACAGTGCATGGCAGCCTGCTTCTTCCTTCTCAAGCAGTTTGAAGACGTGCTAATATATCTTAACTCAGTCAAGGTGAGTAGTGTGTGTGGGAAGGAGGGGGAAACAGAATTACTTGGAGGGTAGCAAGAGCACTCCGTTCACGAACGGGTACATCTGAGCAGCACGTTCTCCAAGTTGAGGATTACAAGTTCGATTGAAGACCGGCGTGTATTGCCTGTCATCAGTCAAGTTTACACAGTAGATGAATTTGTTTTCATTCATATGCATGTGTTTTCATTGTCAGTGTTCACAAAGTGTAAATACACCAAGGTCAGTTCAGTGACAGAGTGAAACTGAACTGTCTTTTGAGGTGGAGATTTGAAAGTAATGCATTGACAAAATTTAACGTTAGATGGAGACAGCTTTCCATTTAATTTACATATATTAACTTTTGCAGAGTTACTTTTACAACGATGACAGATTCAACTTCAACTATGCTCAGGCCAAGGCGACAGCAGGCAACTACAAGGAGGCAGAGGAGGTTGGTTGAAATGCAAAGGAGAAAAACCTCACAATATTTTACTTTAAAAAGTACCAACACATCTGATACTGGAGTAACAAAAGAAACCCAGACAGTAGTTACTACTACTCGCGACATTGTTAAGTTATAAATTATGAACAAGTAATTTTAACTATTAAGCTGGAAAGTCAGCATGATTGAACTTGGTACCGAAATCATTTGGTCGTTAGACTTGTGTTTGAAGTAACTGTTGTGTTTTCTGTGTCAGATTTTCTTGCTGATTCAGAGTGAGAAGTTCAAGAATGACTACACGTACCTCAGCTGGCTCGCAAGATGCTGTGAGTACACTGTGCATTGTTGAAGTCACTGGGGCTGGTGCTGCAACAGATGCTGGGGATAACTGCATTCCCAGGATTTATCTCTGCAGCACTGTCTGTACTCTTTTATTTGACGTGTGAAAGATACCCTGGAAATTTGAAAATTTGAAAACAAACTGGATCGGGAAGGAAAGCTTGGGAAGTGTCATTTTGCCGAGTTGTGAAACGTTAACCTCAAGTTGTAGACTCGTATTATTGACTTTTAGTGCAACATGTTGCCCTTGGTTTGCTGTTTGCTATCCAATGTGTTTAATATACCCTGTTGAACTTCCCCAGCAGTGCTGGTTGCATGGATGTCTCTAGTTCAGCTATTTATATCACTGTTCCCATTTTTGTGCGTCCAGACATCATGAATCGCAAGGCCCGACTAGCCTGGGAGTTGTACCTTAAGATGGAGACGTCTGGTGAATCTTTCAGTCTGCTCCAGCTGATCGCTAATGACTGCTACAAGGTAACATGATTCCCCAGGTTTTGGAGTGACTGTGTATTTTGCATACAGTCATCAGCTTGCCTTTTTTAAAAATTTTAATACAGAGTTCTATTCGTAATTACTGAAGTTCCAGCTATCGATCTTTTCACCGATGTTTTTTATTTTAGAAACCCTTTTTCTTGACAAACATTTTCTTTCTATCGTCTATTTTTATTTTTATGACAAATTCCTTCTGCTTGTCTGTCTGCAGATGGGTCAGTTCTACTATGCCGCCAAGGCATTTGATGTCCTGGAGAGATTGGACCCCAACCCTGAATACTGGGAGGGCAAGAGAGGGGCGTGTGTGGGCGTATTCCAGCAGATCATAGCTGGTCATGAACCTAGGTAAGACTGCATCCAAATCACTCGGCAGTGGCTTGGTATTACACACGACTCTATGGGAACTGGCTGCGGCTACTACCATAGATTTGTGTGTAATATGGAGCCACAGCCAAGTAATTCTGACACGACCCAATACAGGGTAGACAGCTCTCCAGCAACCCACACTACATGTATCTGTTTATAGTGGTTGAGGACTAAGACCTGTTCTTGTAGATTATGTATAGCTGGTCATTGACCTAGAGATATAGACAAAGGTTGTAGGAAGCAACTCTAAATAATAGATTGGTTGGGGAAAGTTCATGGATGTTTTGAGGCAGACCATGAACTCTGCCTAAAGAAACCCCAAATTAACAAGATTGATGCCAATATTTTCTTTTTGTTGGAAACCATTGAAGTTGACAGCAGTGTTTTCGCATTGTCACTGTTTCAGGTATAAGTCTCTGGGAATTCTTCAAGCAATGGAATTTAACCAAGTTTTTTTTATTTAATCTTAATTCTTCAACAGAGAAACACTTAGAGACATCCTACAGATCTTGCGTAACACTGGTAACCCACAGGTGGAATACATCATCCGCATCATGAAGAAGTGGGCAAAGGACAACAGGGTACCAGTTTCCTGAGGCGTTCCTCGCATTAGACTCTGTCTGTGTGTACATTTCAAAGCCCTTTTCTACGAGGGGATTGTGCCAAAGAAGCAACCCCATTAAACAAGATGTACCATGATCTGTGAAAACCTTTCTCATCCATGATTTGAAAATGTTAGATTGGTTGAGCAAATGGTCGCCAAATCTTCTGTTTGTATATATAAAAGGCCATTTTGTTATCTCTTTCATGTCTCATCTTTTTACACGGAGTGTACTCCAAAAAATGTCAAACTCTGTCTTTGTTTCTGAAAATATGCCTTTAGTTTGGATAGTACGGTACCCATGGATGTTCTTTGTGTTTGCATGGAGTGGATTGGGACCAATGAAAGAAAAACCTGGGATAAGGGAACTTAAACCTGGGATAGAATTATTGGAAGAGGCTGTTACCTTGTATTCTTGAGAAGAATATCCAAACATTACTGGACACCATGTACTCAAACCCTTTAAGACTGGTCTGAAAAATATTGTTTTAGTGTTTTCTAAGTAAATGCTTCCATCTTTTCCCTGCTAAAGATGGCTTTTCATGCAATTCTTTGACTTTCTGATGTTTCATAAACCACTGGTAGGGAATTTAAGTGATGACACTATACAGAACTCCTACTGATGGTTTTATCCAGTGGTTCCAGCCATATTCATAGAGAATAACAGCGTTGTGTAGGGACGTAACTTCTGGGGATAGGCTGTTGAATCATCTCCCTTTTTTGTGGTAATAATAAAAGGTGTATTGCGAGGAATTGTTTGGACATCCGAATGAACACAAGTTATTCATCAACACTGAAAGGTAGAAAAGTGAAAAAAAAAAGCTTTAAATTTGCTGTCCAATGGAGAAAGTATGTGTTTAGTGATGTACATCTGTATCATGGACAGCGCCCTGTATCACGCGCATTGCCCAGGATTTTTCCTCGGGGGCCAACCACTGCTTGGCTTGAAAATGACTGAGAAGCAATTGACAGCTGAAGGGGGTCAATTTTGAAGTTTTCTGAGCAAATTGGCGAGTCTCATCTCCTGTCGTCTCTGTCGTCATTTCTTGTGATTGTCCTCTCCTGGCGGAAAGAATTCTATGTACAAACACTGCTTGACACCTTGTGCACAAATTGTGGGAGACTGGTCTGACAAAGTCATTATTTTGTAGTGAACACTTCAATATTTTCACTGTTGAATTTAACTTTTTGAGGACATTTTATTACCACCAGATGGCTAATAGGTCACTGCAGGGGGTAATGGGACCCCCCATACCCACCTCCCTGTGAGAAGACCCTGGCTACCTGTGCTGTTTAATCCCACTTTCCTTTTTGTTTTCATTGCTTTGAATTGGCATTCATTGAAGCCCTGGCTTCTTATCGTTCAGAATGGGTATGACTTCAAATGTGGTTATTCAGTGCATTTAATGCCGACTTGTAATGAAGTACTGGATCTCTCTGTGAATATCTTTTGATCCAGTAATGTAAATATTGTGTAGGTACTTGTGAAACTTTAAACACTCATGTTAGAATGCTGTGCATAGTTCTTGGAATAAAGAAAGATCTCCTAAAAACAGAATTGTGTACAAGTTCAGAAGTTTATTTATTAATTTATTTTAAATCTTCAGACAGAAAACATTAAAGGTTGAACAGGGGCTATCTTGGAAATATGATAGTTTTTAAAAAATGTCATCCAAAGATATGTATGGCCAGATCCCTGACAATAATAATGAAATGAAAAAAGCAAACCGTAGTTAGTGATTGTACCTTTATACCCTGAGTTAACTTGAACCACATAGTTTCTATAGGTGTGAGTTTGGTTTTGATTTGCCTTTGTGGAGTTCATGGGGGGGTGGGCTGCTTAAAGAGGTTACTTTTGCAAATTGTCATATTTACTATCGCAAAAATTAACTGAAAAATGTGCATCATCATCACTATCCCGTTGCCGAGCATTTTGTGACTTAATGACTGGTGCATTTATTTTGGTCTGCATAACAATACGAGGTAAAACATTTTTTAAAATTACATTTAAACTTTAAATAGGGGCTTTTAATGAAAGAACAAAACTTGCAACTTTTATTGGGTATCTAAGATTAAACGGAGACGATGCATCTTGGTAAAGTCGGTCCGGCGGTTAGGCTGAACTTCAAATGAACACGGAAGCTGGAAGTAACGCATCCGTTGTCACTCAGGGCTCCAGCCTCAGCCTCTTACACGGCACGGGTGACTAACAATAGAGGGCGCTAGAGCAGACTTACGGTAACACGCTGGCTACATGGAACTAGAAAACTGTTTACAAAATTAGACTGTAACTTGTGTTGAGTGCCACATACGTGGAAGTCTATCTCTGTTCTGCAGTATGTGCGAATCAGGGGACGAGGTTTTATCTGATGTTCATATTCACATTCCTCCATCTTCCAGACTGTCAAACGGAGGACACGGTAGGTCCAGCGACTGGAATGACTTCAACTGTTTTAATTGCCCGATGAGTGATGTTGTTGAATATATACTGTAGCCTACACCTAGCATGAACTAATATAAGGGTAAACTAAGTACCAGCATCTAACATGTCTACCTCAGCACTTGATTAACGTGCGTTACCGTATAGTCACCAGGTCCCTAATTTCGCCACCTATTGTCAAGATTCATTGGTTTTCACAGTAAGTGGTGAAAGGCACGTGGCAGCTATACCGTCATGTGCGTACCAGAGTAGATGATATCAACTCAGAATTGTTACTAACAGTAGCATCCAGTGGCAGTTGATGTAATTTTTTTCTCCTTCTTTTTTCTTCACTTCACTTTATTTTCCATGTAATATAAGAAGATAGCAATGGTACATATTTAGTTGATGGATGGAGACCCCCAAGAAGCATTGCTTGTCGAGTGGAGGACTCTAGACACTTATGACAACATTTCAAGAACTACAAACATTATTACGAGTTAACTAGAAAAAATAAAGAGCACCAATAAATCTTTGTCCTTTACCAGTGTAATCAATTGTATGTTCTTTCTGAGAGTTTGAAAAAAAAAAGAAAGAGAGAAAGCACAGGGCAAACTACAGCAAACTTTAGGTGGGACTTGAACTGAAATCCACAAGCTCCAGATTACTATGATACATCTTAACAACTTAACCGCAGGGCTGACTCAGTTCTGCATCAAATCGAGTCTATAAATTTCCCAATAGTATGGTGTCATGTTGCATTATTCACAGCTACCACAAGGTTCTACTTTGAAATCCCCACATCGAAAAATCAACCAAATGCCTCCTTGACATTGCCCAAGGTACATGTATGTGGAAAGCAGATATTAGAGTCCAAGCACCAAGGAGCTCTTGATAATGATGATGATGATGATGACGAATCTGTAACCATGACAACTGTAGATGAGGATGGAGACATGGTTGTTGTCAGGAAGAGAATGGGACAGAAGGAGAGAAATGTCATTGTCATTAGTAAGCCTGAAAGTTTGGTTTTCTCTCATTTGAAGCACTTGTCAAATTTGTAAGCCATTACAAGGTATCAAACTCTTGAAGTCAGATGTTACAGTTCACTGTCTGGATTTCTAAAAAAAAATAACTGCAAGTGAGTAACACATTTTGCAGCTGCACTAATTGTCCATCACTTAAGATACTCTGTCAGATGTTACTCAAGCTTGCTTGGGGGGAGCGAGTTAGCGTAGCGGTTCTTTCCTTGCTTTGCACCATTGAGGTCCGGGTTCGAGTTCCGGCTTGGCCCAGGCTTAAGTGCATTTGGTTTCCAGTCCATACTCGCTCTCGCAAGTTTCCTCCGGGTACTCCGGTTTCCTCCTGCCTCTAAAACTGGACCTTCTTCCTAACTCCGTAACGTGATGCTGATTAACAAAGTGTATGAATAAACGTACAGTTATTGGCATAAATAGCCCGAGTTGCTGAAAGCGCCATTAGAACAAAACAACAACAACTACTCAAGCTTGAAGGAAAATTATGGAAACGGCACTAAAGGTTTCAAACTTCTCTGCTGTAGAAAAGTAGTGTATGTAAGATCTCATTGATATCGGAGGATTTGGGGTTGTTAGGGCTGTCTCTCAGGACTTTTACAGGCAGGTATTTGTGTTCAAATAATTGATGATGATATTTAAAATTATCAATGTTTGTTTTTTTCAGACCATGCCATGGCCACCACACTAAGTGATGTTGGATTACAGGTATAAACTCTCAGCCTTTGTGTCACAACTCTCCTTCAGTAAAGACAATCAGCCAGGAGCCAGTCTCAAGCAGGATACCAGTATATGCCATGGGGCAAACCTTGTCTCTGCACAGACAATTGTGTTCAGTAACTGAAATCTTGTAGGCTTCTACTAGTTTGGATTTTTGAATGAATTCTAAAGACCATGGTCATACTTCTCACTTAACGTATTTTCCCTAATCACTTGGTGTCAAATTGTATATTTACGGTTCTAGGTTTGGCAAGGATGTCTGCTCCTCTGCGATTTCCTTCTAACACACCGAGAGATGTTCAAGGGCCGGGTCGTCTTGGAGTTAGGGTCAGGGGTCGGGCTGTGCAGCACTGTCATGGCAATGACAGCATCCCATGTGTTTGCAACAGGTACACCTCTTTGAAGCAAAAGAATAGGTGTGATAGAATCCCTGGGAATCAGAGTAGCCTAGCGGTAGGTAAGCTGATAGTACTTGGCAACCAAGCTGTGGGTTTCTGACCTGGGCCAGCTGCAGGGGCCAAGTTCATAGAGCTGCTTAAGCACAAAATTTGCTTAAGCGTGAAAAAACTTTACTTGATAAATCAGGTAACCAGCCAAAATTCCATGTGATGTATATTGTTCTGGGATTGTATTTAGCTGTTTTTTTGTTTAGCATGACAATCAGATAGAGTTTGAGCTGGTAACCTTTGTTTCTTCAGCAAAGTTTTTCCCACTTAAGCAAATTTTGTGCTTAAGCAGCTCTATGAAATTGGCCCCCGTGTAGAGGCTAAGTCTTACCTGTGGGTTGGGACCTCCCCGCCTGTAACAAGATACCACGGTATCTGTTCTTCTTTTGAAAAATGCCATAAGAAATGGCTTTTTTGAGCGTAAGTACGTGTGAAGCAGAGACTATATTTTTTCAGTCATTCATGACTTTGATATACATGTACATGTATGTTAAGTCTTTCTAGCCATTGAAAAATTTGTTTGTTTTAAAGTTTGTTTTATTCTCTATTTAAAGTATTTTCTGGCTTTTGTAAATCTTTTACAAACCCTGAATGATCATTTTAATCAGTTCAGTAATTGCTGTTACTGTTGCTGTTTTAGATATAGGGACAAGTGTATTGGAGTTGTGCCAAAGAAACATCACCCACAACTATCACTACCTGATGGGTCACTCGGATGAAAATCAAGAAAGAGTAGAAGTCCAAGTGAGAGAGCTAGACTGGTTTCAGTCCACCAAGAGCTCAGGTAAATCAGGGAATGTCTCTGAGCTTCAAGTGCAGGCCCACTGTCATTTGTTCTAATTACTTGCCAGTTAGGAGAGTGTTAGTGTGAGATTGGTAATTATTTTCTGTGCCAAAAACATTAAAAGTTGATTCACAAATGAAGATTTTCACTCCCCAAAGGCTGTTTATGAATAATTCCCCTCAGCCTGTGAGGAAGGACTTCCAAGATTTGCTTCAATGGGACTTGAACCCATGAACATCTAGTTACAAGTACATGCAGTTTCTAGTGATAAAGGTCGTTGGCTACTCAGCCATTGAGCTTGTAGTGGCCTTTTAGGATCTGCAATGGCTTAGGAACGAAACTGTGCTTTATGGAGTGAAATTGACTTCCAGTTTGGAAAATATGAACCGAACAATTTTCTGATTGATGAAAAAATAATGACTTGTTCACTATTTTGAAAAGGAAATTGAATATGATTTTGTGTGGAATTGTTTTCCAGATCATCCCGGTCCGTTTCAGTGGAGCAAGAAAGATATCGAGAAACTTGGCGAAGTCACTGTTATCATTGCTGCAGATGGTAAGAATTGTCCAGGTTTGTGGTGAGGGCATATGTTTGGGTGGGATGGAGATATGTCCGTCCTGCTGCCGATGACCATACTTTCTCACGCATACATTTGCAGAGAGCATGCATTCTATCGACGTGACTTTGCCAAACAGAAGAAGTGGAAAGGAAGTTTAAAGTAAGGGACAACTGACAGTCAGCTCTTTGAAAATGAGTCATAAATCACTGAGCTCTTTGTTTGAATGTGTCACTCAGTTTGGTATAATGAAAATGGACGTTGTGTGGATTTGAAAATGTCGAGGATTCCTCTTGCTTAAAAACACTACGCAAGATTCTTTCAAACTCAAAAGTGGCTCTGGCGACATGAGACTGATTTTTGCAGAGCGGATCACATATTATAGAGTATGGTTCAGCATCTGTGCACCTGCTTTTCCTTTTTGGTTATTTTGTCCTTTTTTTTCTTCATCAGTCGTATATGATGATGATTTGACTGATGCTTTCTTCAACACTCTGATCAGGCTTATGTCATCGGGAAAAGACAAGACTGCATTTATAGCTCTAGAGAAAAGGTAGTGTCCCCTTCTTTATTAAATTGAAATTTCACATCAGTGAACAACGATGAAAATGACGAAAGTATTTGGATAAAATTCTAAAGTGGTAATACCACACACATAAGATAGTATTACTTCAGTAGATTTTAGATTGGACGATTGTACTGCACTTAAGAATTGCATACAAAATTTACCATCTTTGTCTGTTGCCCAAGTTGTAATTGGGTAGAGTTCATGTCACTGAAGCAACTTCAGCTCTGAACATGTTGTGTGGATCTTTTTATTTTCCTCACGACTTATTAACTTTTCGATGTTCATTTTGTAGATTGAATTTTACAATCGAGGATCTCAACGTGACTTGCAAAGCCTATGATCACTTCCAGTTGCACATCAACAGGTTGGTCTCCTCTCAAGATGTGAAATACTGCGTGGAGCAACTGCCTGTGAATTTCCCACAGTGCTTCCAGTATTGCAGGACCGAACAGCTGGTAAGAGGAGACTAGAAAAAATGTCTACCTTAATCAGGTCAAATAATAAACTCTGACATCGTTATGGAATCTTAATTTAGTACCTCCTTTGTCTTTGACAAAATGACATTTTTAGGTTGAAATGCATGTACCTTATTTCATTCTGAATAGGAATTATGGAAGATGAATTTGGTAAGGGAGAAGAATATACCAGTAGACTGATATCCAATTGCTGACTACTGCTTGCCAGCCTTGTAACTAACTCTCTTGCCAACCAGCTAGTTAGCCAGCCAGGATGTAGACTATCTGATGGGCTAGTTGCCAACAGTGCCTGCTAGCCAAACAGCAAGATTGGATACGGGAGACAGGCATTCATTTGCAAGGCATTGTGCAGCCTGCCAAGCCAGCCAACCAGACAGCTTATTAGCCAGCCAGCCAGCCATATGTTACCTCAACAGGAATGAGGATATATCCTGGACATCAACTCTTCATCTATCCTTTGCCTCTTACCAACAAGGACTATGTCCCACCACACGGCAAATCAGTTCTAGCCAGCCAGCTCAGCCATCCATGGTGTAGGATCGGCCATCTAAAAACAGAGGGCTAGTCCACAGTTGCCGTGAACACCAGGCCAAGCCAAATCAGTGAGCCCGCGTACGAGGCGGTGCAGTGAGCCTTTTTCGTACAGCCAACCTACCCACACACTAGACAGAGCTGCACACAACAACAGCTCGATCGGAGACCTTCCAGAAGACAAATGTTATTCAAATGAATGAAAAACTGGTGAGTATCCGATATGAACACTGTCTAGTATTTTTTTAAATTAGAAGAAAAGTTCGTTGAAAATCTAGGTTGAAATCAAGCCTCCAATAGCATTCCTTATTTGTGATTGTCCAGTTATTAGGGTCCACTGAAATGGCTATCATTACAGTGTCCATCCTGAGGACATTGAAAAGATGTCTGTTTAGAGTGTGTTGAGAAAACTACGGTGGTTTGACGTGCAATGTGTATCTATTCCTATTTCTTGGACAGGATGAGACACTGATGGAATGTCAACATCATATTGTGACCTTCAGACAAGTCTATAACCATCTGCCATCTGTGGACTGGGGAATTTTGAACAGTGTCCGGAGGAGCAAGATTGCAAACGGGGGGATAGATGCAAGGGTAGGCTGGTAAACTGTTGGTCTGTGAATGAGCCTTTGCGACAGTTTGTGTGTTGTTGCCAGAAAAAATATTTGAGTATTCTACATGGAAACTCAGTGACGTTTATCATCATGATGATAAGCTTTTCCTGTGGTACAATATCTTGAAGTTGGGCATGATCGGTCAGTCTGCATGTTCACGCAATCTAATTCTAATTTTATCTCCCTTTCTGGAAACAACCTTTCACAACTGTGAATCAGAAAACAAAAATGACTTGCTGAGGGTGGAATTATCAACAAATTGTGCAATAAGATCGACCAATCGTGCAAGGATCAAGAGATCAAGCAAATTGACCAATCTCACCCAACACAGGCTCCGCTGGTGACCAAGAGCAGGCGTTTTTACACCAATATCCCGCATGGTAGACAGTCGCATGCACATGCCTGTACAGTTGTTGATTCACTCCTTAATCACATGATCAATGTCTACCCGGAAAGCAATCTTGGATACTACTCTTCTGCTTGTACATGAACTTCACAGCTTTGTGAGAAATGGTTTTATGATAGAATTATCAGATGCTGTTTAGGAGGAGACAAGACTAGGGAAGAGATGGGGTCAAGGTCGGTTCATGTGTACATTTTCATTTACATTTGGTAAATCAAGAGTCTTTTTAAAGGATTGAATATTGCGGAAGGGATGAGATTGTAGTAACTTGGCCTGTTTGTATTAAGAAAACATTGCAGTCAGTTGAGGAATCACCATGGAATGTGTGCAGTGAATGTTGTCATTTCTTTTGAATATTCAAATAGCCCGAGCTATGAGCTTTCTGGTGAGACTATTTCAAGTTGCAAATCCAAAAATGAGCTTAAGATCATTGACCTGATTTATTTTCAACTTGCTTGTTGGACACGTCAGTTTTCTGGAATTCATTGGAATATAACACATATACCAGTAGTACACTGTATTATTAAATAAAAGCAACGCTTTGTTAAGAGTCAACTGGAGTGTGTAGTAGTTTTTCTTTTAAAAATAAATTTTTGATTTATCATTTCTCGAGAATTTACAGTTTTTCATACACGTGAAAACTCACTTTTATAAGGCCGCTTAATAATTAAAAATAAAAAAGACAAAAAATCAAAAACAAACAACGATAGGAAAAACTAAAACCAAACCGAATAACAGACACACAAACAATTCTGTGTGTCAGTTGTGCAGCCAGTTTACCAGACAGATTGCTTTAAAATCGTTTTTTTGCTGTCGGCAAAGTTGGGTTGCTGCCCAGGGCGACAAATCAGTGCTAATCGAATCCAGTGGTCAAAATTGGTAAAATGCACACCCACTACCGGAATTACCTCGGTCGCTTTGCGGCGGGATTCTGGTACTTCGCTCAGTCATGCCTGTACCTGGACGGGGGTGAGGGGGCGATCTTGTAGATTTGAACTGTGAAAATGGAATACATGTACTTCAATCCAGGATTCTCACAGCGTTAGGAAAGTATGCGGGGAGGGGTCTCTCTAAAAGTTATCCGAACAGATGACAAAAGTGATGAAAGAGGAATTGGCGTTTAGGAATTATTTAAGTATTTTTGTTCACTTTTGTTCATTTAGTTCTTTGTATTTTAGGGATTGCGTGGGAATTATCCTTTTTTTCGGTGACCAAACGCGCGTGTGGCGACATATTCCCATTTTTTCCCAAATGTTTGACCTTTAGTTAATTTTGCCCTTTATATCGTAAAAGCTGGAAGAAACGTCTAAGGCAAATTCCCGAAGAAAGGTTTACAGGTATTCCTGGTACCATTTGGCCCATATTGTGCAAATTTTATGCTTTCTGGGGAGGCAGAACATACTCAAAACTGTAATTGTGATTTTGCCGGATGATTCTACAGGCTTGGACGATTTAATTATGATTAAATTTGTTTTATTTGGTTAATTTATCAGATAAATTATTAATTTGTCTTGTTCAATTTCAAAAGGTAGTTGGGTTATAGATGATGCAAGAAGAGGTTGAAATATGAACAAAATTAAATGCATGACAGGTGACAATATGATAAAAGCTTTGCGTATTAGTTGGGTGCCGAGTTCGTGATCGCGATTGAAGTTCTTGTCTTCATCCAGTCACGTCGGCCGCGACCGGCATCTGTCATTGCCGCTTGAACCCGGCTCGATCGCCTCCGGCAAATTCAAAGCAAACAAAATGCATGAACGTACATGGACAGTACTACGCGAAAAACGTCTATCACATATATATACTTCTTATATACAAAGCACTGGACTTAGTCTCATTTTCAACCTGATTTCAATTGTTATTAAAGTATTTGATAACTGCTGTCTGCTGAAATTTCTAGAACTCTTACAATAAATGGGATTTTTGCATGTTCATGTACACTGTACATGGAATCCGGCGCTCAAATCACGGTGGAAGAAATAGCTCAAATACACTGACTTTTTGCATGACAATGTTCTTAACAACGAAATTGGAAATTCGAGCTTAAGTATATAGGACAATCTCTTAACAGATAATTTTTATAGGCATGGGAAGAAATTTGTCATATAGAAGACCCCAAAAATCCAACTTTCATTTCACGAAGTGACCGTCACGGCACTTTCCAAGTTCCCCTGCAATAACATCACGGCTATGTTTAAAGACACGACAATCTTCCAAAAAACTTCAAATTTGTCAAATTTTCGTTGAAAATATGTGAAGAAAATATTATTCTGGACAACACATTCACACCAATGCATTGTGCTATCTGTTTAAAGTGAGAATTACTGAGCATTTTTGGTCAGGAATTCTTCAGAACCGATCAAGCCGACTAGTTAAAAATAGAAACGTCACGGTGAAAACAAAGCATAACAAAGGAGTGTGGCACTGATTTTGCATTGAAAAGTCGAAGTTTATAGCTTGTAAGCGGCCTGTACGGTTGAAATGCGCGTAGACTGTGATTTTACAATAGCTATTTGTTGAATGAGACGGGGCTTTTTACTTTAAATGCAATAATTATTTAAAAAATTCGGCAAAAAACGGGGACATATTTTTCGCTCTTCGGTTTCAGAATGTCTATGACGTCAACTTTTTTTGACCAAAGGTGACCTCGGCTGTAGATTAAACACAGCACATACATTCCCAAATTTGATTCATATTTCCCTATAATCCTGCAGGTTTTGCTGATTGTAGACCAAATATCGATACCAAGAACGAAAGTAGGTGTGTAATATTTCATTTTTATGTGGTATAAATGCTGAATTTGGACGAAGATTTGAGTGCGTCAAAGCCTTCGAGAGCGCAAAATGAATTGTCACAAGATGGCGTCACCGTATTTCTCGTCCTTCCACCCAAATTTCAGACAAGACTTTTAGACTAAATCAGAACTCTGCATTGATGGAGGAATTCTCAGTAAAGAAATATATATTCCAGTTTTAATGTGTTGGACTTAATATCGGTTGAAAAATTGTTATTTCTACCAAAAAAGCGTGTAATTTTTATCACCGTGAATAAATGTATTTTCAACTTTCGTTTCCGCTAGATTTTTCAGTATATTAAACGGATTTCCTGTAAGTGAATTACATCCAACATGAAATTCCATTCCATTCTCAATCCAGTGCCACCAAAAACAATGAAAAGCGTGTGTTTTTTTCCCCAAAATATTCGTTTGAAAAAATGACTACTAACACAGATTTTAGCACAGCGTCCATTTTCTGCCCCACTCCGTGGAGGGACCTGTTCCCCAGGTAATCATAATTGGTGACTCATACTACGTCCGCAACAAGGCTAGATATTGAGCTACGCATTCGCAGCAAATTCATTATCACTCGTCTGTGAAGTTTTGACTTGCGTTCAATCAACTACTTACTTATCATCATGGCAGAACAAACTGCTGTCGCCGCCAAGCCATTGAAGCCCAAGAAGAAGGCTGCGCCCAAGAAGAAGGCAACCCATCCGTCAGCCGGGGAGATGATTCTCTCTGCTGTTACTAACCTGAAAGACCAGCCCCGCTCTGGTTCCTCTCTGCAGGCCATCAAGAAGTACGTTCACGCCAACTACAACCTGCCAGCAAACTACGACAGCCACATCAAGCGGGGCATCAAGACCCTGGTGAAGTCTGGGAAGCTGACGCAGACCAAGGGCAAGGGGGCCAGCGGGTCCTTCAAGCTGGACAACAAGGCAGCCAAGGCCTCTGCTTCGCAGAAGGCAAAGAAGGAGAAGCAGCGCCAGCGGGCCAAGGCTCTGAAAGAGAAGAAAAAGGAGCAGGCCAAGGCCAGACGGGAGAAGAAGGCAGCCAAGAAAGCCGCCCAGAAGGAGAAGTTGAAGGAGAAGAAGAAGTCCAAGTCTCCCAAGAAAAAGGCTGACAAGAAGAAGTCTCCCAAGAAGACGAAGAAGCCTGCGGCCAAGAAACCCGCCGCCAAGAAGCCTGCAGCCAAGAAACCAGCACCCAAGAAGCCTGCAGCCAAGAAGTCCAAGGTCAAGACCGGCAAGTCACCAAAGAAGGCCGCCAAGAAGACTGGAAAGAAGGCCGCTAAGAAATAGACTGCTGGGTACCAACCCCCCCCCAAAAAAACCAACGGCTCTTCTCAGAGCCACCACATGCTCAAAAAAGGGATAACTCAAGTCTGTCTGTAAGTAAATAAAAATGGAAACTTGCGCATATATAGGGGTGAATAAAAGAAAATGCCATAATTAGGGCTACTAGAGAACGTAAAAATCTATTATGGTCTCGGTGACTCATCTTGCACATTTTAACAACTCCATCTTTCGCTCTTTCCTACAGAAACGCGCGCAATTTGCGAGAGCCACTTCTAAAGTAACGAAAGAAAATTGCACCCCTGTCATGCCTGTATTTCCCGCCCTCGCATTTGAGTGTAAACATAGGCACTAGTCTTCACCTGTTCCTGAGCTGAACGTGGCGTTGTTTACTTAGCAAGAGCCTACAATGCGCTGTCGGTGGTCGAGAGACCCAACATCTTTTGAACCGTAAGCATGTTTACATAACAGCGCCCTCTCTAGGATTTATCTATTTTATTCTACTTTCCTTTTCCTCGCTGCCCGCCAATTTTAAAATGGTAATAGTAATGGGGAAGGCGGTACAGCTGTGTGGATGGTAGAAAAATAAATAAAACGCCTAAAGAAGACAAGGGAGCATGAACCTGTATGGCTGTTCAGAGGGTCATTACACTGTGATACTTTTCGAAATGAAATACACCTGAAATTGCCTTTCCCTCTTTTTCAAAAATTTTTAATTCCTTCCAGGATTCAAGAAAACTGGGGATTTGAACAATTCTTAACAGTACAGTATATGTAATTTGGTACATATGCAAGTACGACAGTGTTCAGAGGGTTGAGAGTGCATGTATAAATCTAAGCTTAGTTGTAAGCAACTTGGGCTTACAACTACATGTAATACTTTCTAGGCCGTAGCAGCCATATTTTTCAAGTACATGTATCAAAGCACACAATTACATGTATTTTAACATCACCATTTCCATAAAATAAATTAATTATAAAAATTCAATGCGCCAACAAGTATACAAAACCAGTATTTACAAAAATATCGTTTTCATGTAACATGTAAATGAAATACATCTCCCAAACTGATCATTAGGCTTTTCCCCAAAACTATGAGGGCTGAATCAGAGAAATACTGTAATTGTTTTTTTAACAAAATAGGTTCCAAATTAACATTTGGACAAGTACATGTACAGTACACTGTTTTTGCAATGAATACTGAACACTTTTTTTACAAAGGAAATCGACTCTCCTCGACCAAAATGGTGGAGTTCGGCCTTTCGTTTCATGATGTGTTCCATTCTATGTGGGGCAAAATTTTATCCCACAACTTGGTCCCAAAGTGTCTCCTCAATACAGAGCCGGCCAGGGCAAAGTCATCTGATCATCTATGAAGTTTGGCTTTTTTGCGCTCTAAATAGCGCTTCCTTGCCTCTGCCACAGAGTCCTCGCTATTTCTTTTGCTGATCTGAACCCGCGTCTCTCCTGACTTCTCAGCTGTGTGAGAAAAAAAAGAGTACAGGAGTTTAGTGTTTCAAAATGAAAAGCACATACTATCATTCATCTATACACTTTATAATTTTTTAGATAGGAAATGTCTCACATTTCGGCTGTTCAATAGCAGTTCTGTCAGAGAACTCCGCTTCGACAATGTCAGTTTCATCAGAAATCTTGGGTGCAAGACATCCACTCAAGGCGTACACATCAAGTTCATGTAACCGTGGCAACAGCTCCTTAATCCACTCATACTTTACCTGATCATTCAACGAAACAGAAAAGCACTCAAGAAAGATTCTGCTTGTTGATTTGTCTTGTTAATGTTGGTCACTGCAGTCAGCAAGCAGTGTGCAGCAGGTTTCCATTTCACATTTGAGAAAAAAGTTCAAAATTCACAAGAGCCACAAAATGGATCTTTTTTAATATAAGTTTACTTTGTTCATTTTTCCCCCAGTTTTGCGAGTCACCACGCCCGTGTTCCCTGGGAGTCATCACACAGAGACTGATCTTGAGACTTGAGTCAACACAGGAGCCACAGGCTGGTTTGACAAGGGGAGGGAGGTAGTGGGAATACATTGTACACCTTTCTCAGGCAGTGACTACTCACTTACATACATTGGAACACTGTTGCAAGGTCCTTTTCCGTAAGAGTCCTCCGATTTCCATATAACTTTACATATACCCTCGGGGGTTAGGATTAAGGCTAAGACTTATCAGAAACCGAACACAAAGAAAAACAAAGACTTGGAACCTACGATATTCCTTGTTATAAATATGTGTTCGACTATGCTTCCTTACTAAAATCAGGTTTTGGTAGTATGCATATGGACAAAACTGGATTTGACAGAGAACAATAAAACCTAACTATCCAAAGGTCCTACTAAACTTAATTGCCTGGTCATTTACTCAAACAGCCACACACTCAAAAGGAATCACGGAATAATGCAAGGAAATAAATGTGCAGAAGCATTTGGTTAGTCCAAGAAGGGGGTTTGCCCCAAATATTGTAAGGGGTGTTGTACATACCGAGCAGACAGTTCTCATGTAGACTTTGGACGTCCAGACAACCTCATGGTATATGATCCAGTCTAGGTCCTCTCGGCCAAATAACTAGGAAATCAGAAGAACGCCATGACAGTGGGAAACTTGAGTCATTGTCTAAAATAAGTTTTGAAATTAGCTTGTGGTTTTGCTGGGTGTGTATCACCAACGGCAGTATTTGAAAACACTGACATGATGGGTTTTCTGAATAAATGCACAGTTCCTGGCAGTCTATTATTAAACTGGCAACTGTGACAGAAACCGAACATCCAACAAGAAAATATTTAGAAACTTTTGTTCAAAAAGTTAATCTCTATTGGTTGAATTGAATTAGGTATATTACTTGTGATGACGGATGGATAAAAACTGTTGTGCCGTGTCCTTCCATGGTTCGGAAGCCTCGTCCTGATGGTGCCTTCCTGGCAACATTACAGAAGAACCCTGCACATAGGGACCGACTCAACAAATCACCGTGGGTGGAGCTCGATGACACCTTCTCTTCAGGGAAAGCAGATGACTACAATTGACAAGAAAGGAAAAAAATCTCGTGTTAATGCAGGTCAATACAAATGCAGCCTTTGTTTGATTCAGATGGATAAGATTGGAAATTATCTAGCTCTGCGGAGGGGTGAGAGGGGAAAATATACAGATAAGAGATACAGCCTGTCCTAGAGTATATCAAAAGAAAAACATCACAACGCTAGAAAGAATACAGAGACAAGCAGCTCGTTTTTGCAAAGGCAATTACAAAAATACACCAGGAACAGCCACTAAAATGCTCAAGGATATTGGCTTGGAGTCCTTGGAAATGAGAAGGAAAATAAGAAACTCAGCCTGATTTACAAGATGGAAAATAACATGGCAGAAATACCACTCAAGGAAACACCATAAACAGTTTCGTCAAATCCGATCCTCTACTCAAGCCTTTGGAAGTAGTTTTTCCCCATCATCTGTTAAGGATTGGAAGGCGTTACCTGCAAACATCATATTTGCACTTCACGAGAGATATTAAAAGATGGGTTAACTAATGACATGTTTGGACGATCTACGCAATGCGCAGGCTGGTGTGATATGTCCTAACGGACATTTATTTGCCAACTTAACTGTACAGATACACCCTTTAGACCTCAAACCAACAAACCAGAACAGGAATGAAGTTCTTTATTCAGTCTGCCAAGAATATTGACATGCAAGGTGGCATTAATGAAAACCAAGAAAGTATGGTACAGTTGAACTCTGATAAGAAGAGCATTGTTCGTATAAAGTCTTGTTTATAACAGGGACAAGTTTCCAAATCTTTGTTTTCCCTAATTGATAACAAAGGTACACAGAAAAACTGTTTTACGTCCCAAGGACTTTGTTAAAGAGGATTTTCAGTCACATTACTTTTGACGGTCAGTGTTCAGTTGACACAGATGTGTGTAGAAATGCTCGCCTTCAAACTCTCTCAACATTCTGAGACTGCCGATGCAAATACACAGATTCAAAAAAGCACAAAAAACAGATAGGGTACACTTCCTGAAATGCCTTCACCTGTTATGTTATGTCACGTAAGAAATCTCCATAGTCGTGTTCCAATGTACGTGTTTAAGTGTCAGGTATAAGTGTTCAAGTATTCACAGTGTTTAATCGGTATTTGGGACATAACCATGTTGTTACTAGAAGTTTCATCTGCCACTCACAGCTTCAAGTCTACTGAAATTTACTCGGGGACTTGGAAAAAGGCTCTGTTTACTAGGGGCTTCACTAAAAACTTCACAATGACAATCTTGAATCATTATTTGGTAGCATTGTACCTTCAGTTGCCTGTTCAAGATGTTTTCCAGCTGTTTGTGGATGCTGGATGCTGTCTTAACTGCTCTCAAGTGTATGTAGTTCCTTTGGCACCATGACGAGGGAGACTCACAGGGAAAGAATCAAATCACATAAACGTCTCAATGTGATGATCTGTGAGGTTAGGGCAGGTTTTCCCTCAATAGAAACATTGACACTGATATTGTCCTGTTCAAGCAATATGAAAGAATAAAGAGGGAAAATGGTTAAAAACTGAAAAAAAGGAACTCAAATTCAGTTGCTGCACTTCTCACAGTTTTAGGAAAGAAAGCAAGAAAAGAGTACAACAGGAAATGATTTTCATATCAATCTTACTTTCGCTCTAACCTGTGTTTAACACAAAGCATTGCCGATTAACAAGCCAACCTCAAGCTTGGGGGCTGATTGCTTGAAACACCCACTTCAGTTAATGACAAGGCACTTGCAAGGACTTAATGGCAGCATGCAACCCACACCAACCTGTCAGCATAACGTCTGTACACGGCAAGGAGTGTGGCAAAGTCATTGTTGCTTCCAGCCATCTTGGCAAGTGTTGTGTGAGCCTTGGCCGCTTCTTTCTGTTTCTCTGCATCTCCTGCCAAAAAAGGTTGAATACAGTTATATTCTGTTTTCCCACGAGCCACTCCCACAAACTAACACTGTTACTCCATGTGGTGATTTGGGTCTCCAGGTCAGTTTCCGGGTTATGCCTGAACCTGTACCACTGTTT